GAAGTGTTTAATAGTCCATTTAGTGGGTCCGAACTTTTAACAAGTACTAAAATAATCCATGAAAACGTATCATATTGCCATCCTAAGAACGATAAAAAAAGGGAGTAAAATTTGATAAAAACAATAATAATAACAACAACAACAACAACAAAAAGTTTACGAGCTAAGAAAAGGTCAAGTGCAAACAAGCGATAGATAGGTTTGTTACTTTTAAACCTGAACGCTAATATTTATACAAAGCTTGCTGCGATACTGTCTCAACTCGATTTTTTCTACTTATAAGACGAACTCCCTTTTTTTATAAAGTAAATAATAANTTTCATAATTGGGAAGAAAAGATAATAAAAAATAATAATAAATTATAATTTAGCTTATCTATATATTATTAACATGGGATGCCTTTAGGATTCCCGACAATTATTTCTGAGTCAGGAAGGAAATGAGTGATAAGAATTACTTAAATTAATTACGGAAATGTATAGAATTGTTAAACAAAGACGTGTGGATTTGGAGTTTATCAAAGTTTATTTTTAGGTCCATAACTTTTTTATTAATATGAGGCTTTTACTAAATGTATTTAAAATGTTTTATTATAGAAGAAAAGTATGAAATAATAAAATATACGAATAAAGTTCCAAAATCGACCATCTCGCGTTGAGATCGGAATACGGTGTCATATTAAACATCGACGATCGAGATTATAGTGATCTAAATTGATAGCATTACATCTACACAAAAAGGAGACTAGTCAGGAAGCGTGGAGAGGTAAATCAAATCAAACGGAATGTTCGATTCGGGGACAAACTCTTTAAAAGAACACGGAGTTCTTTGTCGAAATTGTCCGCAAAAATCCATTCTTTTTCCAAGAGATCTTTGGTTAATAGATCTGTTCTTTTCCCCAAAAAGTTCCGTCTCTTTCTTCTTTTCTCCCGCCGCTCTCTTACAAAAATCGGAGTTTCATAGAGATCCTTTCTTCCAACTATCTGTTTATTCTATGCGCTTTCACGCCAAAGATCGAAGTCCCAATTGACGTCTCCAGCGGCTTCTGAGGCTTCTGAATCATCAGACATTGCTGGATGACAACAGTCCCGGGACTCCGATCATCGAATTCTCCAGGACATTGGACGAACTTTCATGTGTGAAAAATCACTTTTAGAAGAAGACGTCCACAAAAAGACAACCCTAGTGAAATCTACTTACAAGCCCTCCTTACTCTGTAATAAACGGATTTAATTGAGACTTGTCTCGGTGTTAATCATACCCACATACGACTCCTCATCCTCGTTCGTTCTGATTTCAATTTTTATTTTTTACATTTTCAGATTTTCAAGACATGTCCTTGTGTGCAGTTTAACTAAACACAATAAAACAAGGTCTTAGGAAATATTCTACTATGCTACTAGGAACTTGCTAAATGTATTTATAAGATTTCGAATAAAAGTGCTAGAGGAACAACAAGAATATATTATCAATACTGTAATTTAATCCTTTTTACATTCCATAAAATTATGAGACGAAACTGTACATAGATTTGTTCTGTACTAGAATCGAATGGTTTGACTCCTGTTATTTTTCATAATCAGCCGAAGTGTTTTTATTCTCTGATTTAAAATATCAAAATTATTTTCATTTTCGTCAATTTCCGAACTTTAAAATTTTGTGGAAATAACTCACGATCATTCACATTAATAAACTGTTACCGTTGTAATGCGTTAAAATGTCCATATACCAGGACACTGGCCTATATCGTGAGTGTTATGTGTAAATGTATCCGCCCTATAAAAGTAGTTTAGGTTTTGATTATAGTATACATCGTGACAGCGGCTTATTCAAGATTTTGAGAATATGGATGTTACTCAAAGCAAATTCGGGAGACCAAGGCATGTCCTCCTTGTCGATTTTCAATGATTATTACTCCATTACCTTAAAATTATTTTATTTATTTAATCTTACATAAATGAAGTCATGCGATATGCGCTGTTATATTTATTTTTATTTTAAGGTTAAAAAACTGATTGCTTTTATATCAAGAGATTGCTGCAGCACCGTAAGCATCCATTAGATAAGTCTTTGTATCGTAAAGTCAAACGAAGTAGTGGTCTTTAAAGAAACTTGACAGAATAGTAGCATAGTTAGCAGATGGGACACATTCATTTTGTGCTACTGATAATGAAAAAGATAAAAATCAGAGATGTCAGGCATAATGGTTCGTTTTAAAACAAGACAAAATATTATGTCAAATTCGCGGTGGTAAGTATTAAAAATAAATTGTGTCAGTAAAAAAATTCAGCAACGAATTGCATAACTTTCTTAGCAAAAAAAATAAAAATTGTAAGTACTAATAACGAATAAAATCTTCATTAAGTCCGACCCCACTCCAGATATGACACACGACCTCCCTCTATCTCCCCACTCTCTCGACATTTGACTACCAAAATTTAATAGTATCAATTCCTCTAATACACAAACCTCTCTGCAAAATTTTAGAAATTTTCGACAAAAGGTACAGGAGTTATTAAGCTTCAAATTGGGTGAACCAAATTGTGCTCCATACACACACACTAACATCCATATATACAGAAAAACTCAGAAAATTTTGTTTTATTTTTCGACGTTTCAAGGTCCCGACTCCAAAATTGTAGAAATCCTTGTGGTCATTTTTTACCATACTTTTCCTCAGTTATATAACAGCCAAGGAAGTAATATACAGTACATATACAGTACATTGGTTGGAAAACTGTTTGGCTATTTTATGTAATATTAAAGATTTATATTTAATTTAATTAAGTATAATTTAAGTTAACAACATATTTAAACGATTTTAACAATCTTAAAAATTTTCATAATTGAGAGATTTATCTCCAAAACGTACTAAATTCAATGTTAAATTATTATTGTATTTAATGTTGCCATAATATTCATAACATTTCTCAATATTATAGATGGCCGACAGTGGACAAGTGGATAAAATCTCTAAATACTAGTAGTTCGTCGCGAGTTCGTGCCTCCCCAACGAGCTGGCTACATTGAGTTTTCTCCGCGTGTCTAAAAAGTCCTCCCGAGATGCAGCTCTCCCTTAGCAAATCGTCATGTATTGCGGTGCCTTATTCCAGTGATGGGCAAACTACGGCTAGATGCAGCTCGCCTAGAGATTCTGTCTGGCCCATCGCAGATTTTAAAACAGTAGTATAGAAATTTTTAATATCAATGTTTTAAAAAAATTTATTTAAGAGCGTGTTCCATTTTTGCATAAGCGAACTTTCAGAAATGCAGTCACAGCTTAATTCATCGCATTAGTATTGGTATATTTTGAAAATTCTTTAATAAGAATTTTTTGTCTTTATTGCGTTTTATAATAAATTATATTGAACCAACAAATTTTTTTTATTTTGTTTTTTGACCCACTCCTATAAAAGTTTGTCCATCACTTTCTTATTCCATCCACATTATTATAAGCCTATTTCCCAATGGAGGGACTTTTTCCGAGGAACGCTTTCTATCGTTATCTAGGAATACTTTCCCAATGGGAGGCCTTTCTACACATCGCTGCATTACATTATAAGCGAGGTTGGGGCTGAAGTTTTCATCTCTAAAACGTGAACGTCGAACGTCGAGCGCCGCTTACAAGATAGCGGCGCTCGACTTTCGACGTTCACGTTCTAGAGATGAAAACTTCGGCCGCAACCTCGCTATAGTTTAGAAACGCTTTCCGCTGGAACTAAACATGAATGCCGTAATCTATCCTTTAATACCAGTTACAGCCGAAAGTAGTACTTTAGTTAAAAAAAACTACAATATTTAAATAAAGAGATATGAAGAATTGAGCATTTATCTTTCCGAAAATGTGAGCAAAGTAAAGAGATAGAAGATAGATAATCTAGTATTTGAAATATAGTATTTTCTTATTCTTTAGATAACTTTAAGAGTCATTTTATAAAATTTAATCCTTTTTAATCTTTTCATAATATTTTTATCAACAACCCAAAGCGTGCTCAACAGAAAATAATAAACATTAACTTAACACCTGATCACTCGCTGAGAAATAAATCTCTCAGCGAGTGATCAGGTGTTAAGTTAATGTTTATTTTCATCAACATCATTTCGACTTTTTTATTTTTACAGCATAATATCGTATTATACACACAAGCGTCCATTTTGTTTTACACGTAAAAGCTGCTTTATCTTTGCTGCAGTGACCCCTTGCAGCAAACGTTTAGAAACGGTTCGCTATATTAAAACGTTTCATTTAGAAACGCTTTGCTGTGTAGCGATCGAGCAATCGAGCAGCGCTGCATAAAGAAACGCGATCATGCTACATAGAGTGGCTATGATCGTGGATACAGCGCTCTTGATGTCAACGACGGGTAATATCATTTTTACACAACGAGTTGGAATATTCTAGATCGTTACCTTTGCACAATACAAATGACACGTACCCTTGACTAAAAGGAAAATGGCGGACGTGTATTCAATTTTCCTCGAACATGGCGTCGCTTCAGCGAGTAGGTTTTAGAATTTTGCTTCTTTTCAGCATTAGTTCTGCCTCGCTCATTCTTTAACCAATCAGAGCTTTGTATATCACTAATGCTGAAGAGAAAATCTGCACTCTTGACGGATTATCCAATCTATTAAGATCTCTATGAGATGGTGTCGCGAGAAGACGCCAAATACCAGAATTGAAACCCGTATTCAATTGTTCTTACTAAAAAAAAAATATATTGTTTTTTATTTTTTTAAAGTAAAATAAAATTTTAATTCGTTTTTTTTACGTTTGTAATAATTTTTTTTATAAAAAAAAAGGGTTAAAGTTAAATTTAAAAGTATTCTGAAGCTCGGTAGATTGACATTACGTTTAAATTCGTTAAATAGTTAAAATTAACAATAGATGGAAATTAAATCGATTGTTGATTAGAAGTAGAATGAGTTAAAATTGAAAATATTACGAAAACATTTAAAAATGTATAAAATCCGTTAATTTCACTTCAATCATGTAAGGAATGTTTCGGAGAGGTAACAGTAGCTACAGGTGCACGGGGATTTCATTTTAGCACGTGTACATCCACGTGGTGCTAGCCCTGGGCTACAGGTGTATTTCCATTTGGTCAACTCTACTTACTAGTTGTACACACCTAACATTCTACTTACATCCTACCTAACTCACGGGAAAGTTTTATTGGTGGATTGCCGTACGACGCACCAATCCGATTACGGTCTGGGCGTGGAGATGTTCTCTTACTGGATCACGTGATGTAATGACGGCTGGTGTAAGATTGACAGAATTTGACGACGTTTCGACGCATCGTAGTTATGTTCCAGTTGGATTTTAACTATGGGATGATCTTTTGACGTATCCGTTGAGTCAGTATGGGGTCAGAGAATGGTGATCTGGTTATGACCCGGTGTAGTTTGAACTTTACTATTCAAAATTGGGATAATTTTAAGTGTTTTTACGTCCTATACATACGAAAAGTGTGAATCGAGGTAAATATAATCTTTTATTATACTATATTTTCTATATTGTTTATTGAGTCGGGAATATTTAAAGTCGATAGATTAGCGTGTCATCTTACTTTTGCTAAACTCTATTGTTGCAATATTTCTAAATGAAATGTATAATATTTTACTTTAAATTCTACTCCCCTCTTTCTTTTTTATTAATTAGGAAGTTAATTAATTGTGCAAAAATAAGTAATTAATTTATTTAAAATATATATATATATATTTCTGGTGTTACGAAAAGCATTTTACAGGTGTTGATACGTTTAAATGTTTGCTGAAAGATTTATGAGGAAAGTCGAATTTCTGATGTTTGCAAAAACATTTAAGTTATGAAAAGAAAGATCCAAAATATAAACAAAACTGTAGAGGACGTAACTAGTTAAGAATCTGAATTTCCGTAACTATTGGCCTATTTACAATTTGCCAATGGGATGCATTATAGTGTAACGGTCTCTCTACCGTAGTTTGTTATGTGAGAAGAGATAGTGCTAACTTATACCCAGACACAAACCTCATAAATTACGAGCAGACAATTACTGGTCGGGTCGGCCTGACAACATCAGACAGATCTATCCAAACCTCCTATTTATCTTGTACGGTAGTCGAAAAGTAATATTTAAAAGTTGAACCCGATTGGATTAGAAGAAAAGTGGCTAACGTGTGACTAAATATGCTTTTTATCAACTCTAAGATCTTTTGTTTCTACAAGTAAACGAGAGAGTACTCACTTTTTGCACATAGTAAATTGGTTTGTAAACAAGAGACGGCCTACGATTTCTCGTGTGTTGTGTATAGGATTTACAGGATATCTCTCGAGAAAATCGTCTTAAATAGAAAAGAATCGATCACAAAACTAATTAATCGTATATTTTTAATCTTCTATAAATTAAAATTTTAGATATTATTTCGGAAAAATGATAAATTGATATTGAGACTGGCGAACTTATCGTGAAGGAAATAGGATAAAATTTCTATCTTCAAATCCATTCTAAATTGATGTTATTTCAAGATTAAACGTTTAAAAAATTTACAAATTCGTGATTAGATTTGAAAATTAACTTAAATCGATTAATAATCTGATTTAAAGTCATTTGAAAATCAGATTTTTTTTCGTTTTTTTTTTTGTATTTTAGGCCTATTTCATATGTCGATTAAGTATTTTAAGTTAATTCCTTTGTGTCGTAACTATTTAACATAAATTTATACGTTTATGCTTAAGCTAAATCATGTAAATATTCGGAAACTTGTCTTAAACCAGAGCGATAAAGAAAATTTAATTAGTTATTCGGAGTTAAAGTAAACACCATGAGTTAGAAACGCTTTAGTATTTAAAAACTACATTCAATCGAAGATTTCAAATAAATTCTCATATTCAAAAGCTCAGAATTCTTTAATAGATCTTAAATCACATTGAAATTTAATTAGTATACATGTTATTTTACTGACGTTTCTAAAGAAAGGCCTATTTTATGAATCGTGCGATTACACATAATATGCTTATATCTGACGGAAAATTTTACTTAGAAAATGATGAAAATTGTATTATTTTGCGATTATCTCGAATAGAGAACGGCCTACAGGCCATATTCTCCAGTTACAATTCTCCGATTTTGTGTAGTTGTATCAACAGATCATATTACATTGTTGAAAGTCCTAAACTTCTCACTGTGGATTTAAAACGTGATCTTTAGCCAGTTTTCTTAGATTGGTTTGATTTAGATAAACTCTTCTCGGAACAATTCAGCTATACGATCCTTATATCAATTGAAGGACTAAAGCTTAATCTAAATATAGAGTCCTTTATAGAAAAATATATTCAATAAATTTCCGGTTAGAAAATTTCTTTTTCTTCTTCTTCTTCTTCTTCTTTGATGTATAACTACTACAGATTACAATTCATTTGAAGTAGATACTAGAGAATTGTCTTCTGATTGATAATAATTTGAAAGAAATAACAATTGAATTCATTAGAGAATGTCTGTTTATAGTAAAATTTAATTTAAACTTTATAAATAAGAGGTCTTAAACGTGAGAGAGACTGGCGATGTACTCTTGTGTAGAAGGCAAACCGAGGTACGTGCAGCTTCTATTGTAACCGTCAGATGACTAAATCAGCAAAAGTAAGAAATTGCTGATTCGACTGATGTCAAGTCCAGATATATTCATTTTGGCGGACAAAATCAAGATTTTTTTTTTTCCAAAGCAAACTCGTTCTCTAGTTAGAATATATCTAAGAGATCAAAGAATTGTCTTTTGCATCATAATAATAATAATATAAAAAATTGTATTTTTCGTAAGTTGAAAAGTTTAACAACACAATAGACTATCCCTCGGGATTCCAATATTCCCCCTGTGCTAAGTAAAGTAAATAGTATGATTGATAAGTCTCCGAAAGTAAATAGGGCCTTACTGACTACAAGCCCTCTTTTTTTTTGACTTCTGTTCATGGGAATATTCTGTTTTCGAATGATAGCTTATAGAAAAACTCAAAAATACGGCTCAAAAACAAACGTATTTTGAGTTGGATCGCGTTAAAATAACAAGGCCTGATTTTAGTCTTATTAATTTAACACAATCACACGATGTTATTTACTTTTCATTTTGGGCCTGTTAAATTAACAGGAAATGTGAAAAAGGATTTGTTTTTTGCAAGAGAATAACATAGATGTTTAAAAGGACCTAACCCACATTTCATTGTCGGAGAGTATTGATAAATTACTTATGTTTCATAGTTTTATCGAGAAATGTCAATATTATGTGTCTTGTCATTATATTACTTAACAATGTCGTATTTAGAATAGATATAATTATTTTTATATCGTAAAATAAAATTAAAATAGACTGTATTAAATCTCATTCAAAAGTTCTTTTTTCTGTATTTCTTCAGACGAATTTTATATCATATTCTTCGAAAGTAAAGATGGAAATGTTGAAGTTTAGACTTATATCAGACTATCAAAAAACAAAAATAAACAAGGATAAACTAAATTATATCAAAAGCTTTAATTTAAATCTTGTGAAAAATGTTTTACTGTTGGCTTATAATTACAATTTAGACTTAATTTAGGCACGATTCTATAATGTTGAGTTGGATACTTTTTAACCTTAAAAAATATGAGATTAAATCATTAATGTCTTTCTACAACAATTTATGATGGTAACTTATAAAAAATAAAATTTTATTATAGACCTAATGGTCTACATGAAACATAAGATCTTTCTATTGAAAATCTTCCTAACTCTATTGAAAAAGTTGCATTAACTTAACTTTTAGTAGTCCAATAAAGATCTTATTACCAAATAGAAAATGTAAACTGACAAATGAGAATGTGTGGATTTTAGGCCTACAGTCTTATTCTTTAGGCCTACATTTTCAAATATCAAAACTCTTCGATCTAATCCGAAACCAGATTTAAATCTAGAAGAACTCCTAATTTCGCGTAAACTATAGATTTAGCATAGGTCTAGAAATCCTTAATACGATTTACAGCTCTGTAAGGAAATAAGTTTAGATTTTCAAAATAGTACAAGGCGTAAAATGAGCCGTATAAGGACAATAAAGAAGAAGAAATAAGAAGGAACATAAAGAGTAAATGCGTCATTCCAATTCGTTTCCATTTCTCTGATAGTAAGCGAAACACATTTTGGATCGTAATTTTTTTATCGCTGTTATGCCTCTACACTTACAATCTTCTCATGGGTATGTCTTCCACTATGACACCTTTAAGTCGCAAGATATAAACCGATGATTTTATCGAGCCAGAAGGAATTACTTTCTGCAAGTAGGCCTACAGACTGACTTAAAAGACATATCCCGTTTTATTTTCTGGATGTACAAGATATACTGCTTATCGTTAAATTTCCATCGATTTACTATATTTCAGACGTTTTTAATTTTGATTAAAAGATCTTATTTTAATTGTTTTTTTATATCATTTAATTGACAGTTTATTCTAAAACAATTTGATGAGCGCATAAAATCCGATTGAAATTTTTTCAATTTTATTTATGCTTTTTGCGGTGATTTCCGAGTGTTTACTTATTCTCCTGAAACTATTCTGTTAATAAAGAACTTCTCTGATTTTATATTTAATTCTAATTCTTGTGTAAAAAGTAAATCAGTTAATTTAATCTTCAGGATTTTTCAGGATTAACAACTCACTGACGATTAACTTTCCATAAGCAAAACTTCTTTCTATACAGATTGATGACAGCATACAATGACGCAGATTTACGATAGTTTTTACATTTGCATTTTCCCTTCGCAAACACAAGATCCAAGCAATTATCTGCTCATTTCTAACAGATGCTCCACTATATAGAGTGGTTGCGCTTAGCAGTAATTTCATGGTATGTTGACCACTTCCCGTTTCAACCTGTCACACAATCACCCGGTGATGGATATTCCCTCCAATGGAAATTGGAAGCCAAACTGTCCAGATGGACACCTTCGACTCCGTATGTTCTACCTTGACGAACAAAGAGCAAACGCATTGTGTAATGAATTCGTATAGTTTTTCAATTGGTGTATAACCTTAAAAAAACCCAGTTAGACTCCACTATTATTCAATTACCTCCGTAGGCAAGCATTTCTTATTTTTTTTCTTAATTAAACAAACTCAGATTTACGCTTATGCATTATTGTGTACTCGACAACACAGTTATGCATCAGGAAATAAGCGGCTTTCGTGGCATATTGCGTTATAGACGTGTAGATTTATGACCGTGGCAAAAAATAAAATCCGACACAGGCGAGAATAACTCTACCATTGCGACTATCTGGTGACATATCGAAAAAGAAAAATGATCAATATAAAAGCAGTTAAGCAACATTACTCATTTTCTAAATGACGGAGTCGTGTGTCAAGTCTCTCCTGACCAAACTACCGTTTTACGCTGTCAAGCTGTTCTTTTTCAATTTATCAAAAATCTTAACTGTCAAGAACATTTGAAGTAAAGAAAAAAAAAAGAGGGGATGGAAACGGATGAAGTGTTTAATAGTCCATTTAGTGGGTCCGAACTTTTAACAAGTACTAAAATAATCCATGAAAACGTATCATATTGCCATCTAAGAACGATAAAAAAAGGGAGTAAAATTTGATAAAAACAATAATAACAACAACAACAACAACAACAAAAAGTTTACGAGCTAAGAAAAGGTCAAGTGCAAACAAGCGATAGATAGGTTTGTTACTTTTAAACCTGAACGCTAATATTTATACAAAGCTTGCTGCGATACTGTCTCAACTCGATTTTTTCTACTTATAAGACGAACTCCCTTTTTTTATAAAGTAAATAATAATAAAAAATCTGATTTTCTTTTAATAATAAACTGATACTTTATGCCATTTTTATGTATCGGCATACAAGAAAAATCGCAAAGTATCGGTTTATAAATATAAGAAAATTAAATATTAAAGTCGGACTTTTATAAAGAACAAATATATTTAATAAATAGTAAGTTAGATATAAAGATAATAGAGAAACGAAGCATGTTATAGGCCTATTATATGTTATAAAAGTTGGAGCCGTAAGAGCTTTTTTTTTTTTTGCTTTATTTTTAGGAAGTCAAATCGTTTTTCCGAGTATGAAAGAAAAGTCTAAGAACGCAGCCAGGTCGAGACGAGAGAAAGAGAACGCGGAATTTTTGGAATTAGCAAAGCTTTTACCTCTGCCGGCAGCCATTACGAGTCAATTAGATAAAGCTTCCATTATTAGACTTACTACTTCCTATCTGAAAATGCGAGCCGTCTTTCCCGATGGTAAGTATACGTGTGCTTATTTCGTATTCATCTACAGCTTATATATTTACTTCTATCGATCATTAAGTAATAAAATATATAGGCCTTCTATAAAATAACTCAGGCCTATTTTTTGAAACGAAAAAAAAAAATAAAAATAAAAAAATACCTCGACTCCTCAGTCCTATTTCATGCGCCATTGTGCAGAAATCTCTGCACTTGTTACGAGCTTACACTTTTTTAATATTTTTCGAACGAAATATTCACTTTAAGGTATTTTTCCTCCTATTCTGTGACGTTAAAATGATGGTCCGAAATTAAATTTTAAAATAAACCAATTACTTTTGAGATTGAATTCGATTGGATAGAACACAATGCAAGTTATTTGTGACGGATGTCTCCTATTCTTTTTTAAATTTAAACATATTAAGATACTATTGATATACAACAATGGCGCCTATGTTGATTTTATTTAGCTTTCTTTGATAAAATTCTCTGGACTGTATTTTATAATACCTAGGTTTTTTAATACGAAATGAATGCACTTTATAGGATAATATAGTTAAACGATGTAAAACCCAAAGGAGAACCTTGAAAATAGCTTAATTGAGTCATAAGAGAGTAAGGCTGCTGTGCCATTTTAAAGTTGTGATGTATTCTTTCGGTAACGTAAGTGAACGAATGTACTATAAAAATTATATTGAAGGGGCTCTCGCTATAGAGAAGCATAAGCGAGCGATCTTAATGAGGGTGACTCGCAAAATATTTTTTACCGGACAATTCAGACAATTTGAAAAAAAAAAAAACTGGATGGAAAAATAAAGGGAAGCAAAAGAAAAATCAATCATTTCCTTTCCTAAGGGTTGAACAACTGCATAAAAGAGGCACCCGAATTTTGATAATTGAATGGATGGCGATTTTTCGGCCGGTCTTTACGATTCAAATCACAAACGGGGGTGGTTCTACTTGTCGTATTCTCCTCCCCTTGTTGTTACGTAGGCAGAGAGAAGAAAAGATTTTGATAATTGGACAGACGGCGTCCTACGGGACAAATTGGCTTCGTTTGCTGTGAGCCATTGTGAAGGTTGTCGAGGCTCCCAACCCCACCCGTGCCTTTTGTGAAGTTAGACCTGCAAAGACGAGCTATCATCGTCACTCAGTTATCTCCGTTATTCCTTCCTGGTTGAAGCGGATGTCGATGTAATCTTTGGCAGCCCAGTCGATGAGGTGCATACGGGTATCACCGGATGTGGGTCCACTTTTTGTCTTCCCCTCCAAAAAGGTGTTAAGAGGGCTCCGAAGGCACAATCTCTTTTTAAATCTCTGTATAATGTTAACAGTTTGGTTTACAAATGAAGTAAAATATAAAGGGTATTGTTGGAGATTTTCCATTTCTTTTAAAGGCGAATAATATTAATAATAATAATAAGAAGAAAAAAAAACTTTAGATTTTTCTACAGTATAAATCTTACATTTCATAAAATATATTACAGTTATTTTTAATCTTTAATAAGTAAAATGCATTCGTCTATAAATAACGGGAGCTCCTTATAATGTTACTTTACCTCAAAACTGCAAACTCAATACAGTTTCTTCAATGTTCTAACGTTAATTATATTATTAACATTTGAAATATTTAGGCCTATATTTAAATATTATTTATTTATTATTCGCTTTAAAATAAAGAAAACATTCGAAAAAAAATTAATATAGGCCATAATGCATTAAGATTAGTTTCTATCGTCAATTAAATAGGTTATAGAAGAATAGAACCTTTAAATATAATTCTACTCCCAACAAAATATTCAACCTATTAAAGAGTTTTTATTGTAACTTCTCTTGTATTATAGTGTTTTATTAATTAAGATTTTTCCAAATTAAAAAAATAAATCAATAAGTTTATAAAAAGGAAGATTCAAAGAACCGAAAAATATATCGTTTAGATAAACACATAGACGAAGATAAATAACATAAAATGAAAAATCTCGAGTTCTTCCGCTATTTATATAGCTTACAAATGCAAGATATTATTTATGACTGTCTCCTTCATTTAGTTAATAACAAATCATTTATTAATTCTAAATTTAGAATATGAGAATTCGAAGAAAAACGTAGTGTTAAACATACTAAAAAAAAAAGATCATTTATGTGTAAATATCCATCATTTCGTAAGAAAACCAAATTTAAAAATCCTATTAAATTATTATCAGCTTTTTTAAATAAATTACCGAGTCGATTTTAGAAAATAAAGTTGTCAATTTTATAGATGTAATACGTTAAATTTAAATATATAAAAAAAAACACCCCAAATGTAGGCATCCATCTTGGTTTTTACGCCTTAGAGCAAGATCTTATAATTACTGTTCTCCATCAGCTTGAAATCACTGGTCGATAAATGCATCCTTCTCTCTCCTTCTGGGCGTGGTTAAGGCAAGCTTATGCATGGCTGCCTTCGTTTTTCGATTTACTAGCGAATATATGGTTCGTTAGATCACCATTAACACCTCGTTCTTCCTACTCTTAATTGGCAGAATTCTTCGACGACGAGTAGAAGAAATCTTCTAACAAAAAATGCATTTTCTCTAATTCAATTAACCGGTAAAGCATCGAATAGTTTATATGTCGTTAATTTTTTTTTAAAGATTATTAGTATTTTAGCGTAATTTTTTTTATTAATAAAAACATATAGTAAAGGTCTAATGCGTGACGTACTTTAAGCGTAACGTTTTCATTTGCAGTTGAATTCGAAATTGTTGTTGTGAAATTATATAGGTTCGAGCCTGATTATCAAAACAACCTTTGGTTCCAATTTTGTTCTGGTATGAGGCATGAATCATTCTGTTTTGTGTTTCAGTTTTCGTGAGAAATGTGCGAGTAAAGGTACACAGTCCGAAATTATAATGCAAGGTTATATTGGATTTAAAAAAAAAATGAAAATTTATTGCGAAGATTAAAATTCTCCTAATGAATCCACTAGAAAAGTATTTCGGATGAGTAATAAAAGGCTTCTAATTCAAACGAAAATGATAATATTTCTTTATCTTTTCTCTCATTTATTTGCAAAAACACGTTATGAAAATTTATTACATTCTTTTCTCGTAGAGTAGAAAGAAATCTTCAAAAGTAATGCATTTCTTTTCATTTTAGAAAGGTGTTTTAGGTTTTTTTTTTTTTTATAATTTAAACTTAATTCGTTAGAGAAATATTTAAGGAGAATGCAGGAAAAACTATAGTTTCATCGAAATCTTAAGACATTTCTAAGAGAACAAACTTCTGACCTGTTTCGGGAGCGAAATTCTTTCAGGAAAAAAAGGTGTTTCTAGAAAACTGAAAAGTGACGCTAATGGGTGTATGTGGGTGAATTATGCTTAACATTTCCTGATCAATTGTCCACACTCCATAAATAAAGTGTTTGTTGTGTTGCCTCTTCAAACCATACTTCCTGTGACAAGCGGAAAGATATCCCGCTTTGAAGAAAAGTTTGAATGGAAACGCCTACGCTTGATTCTAAAATTACGGCTTCCAGGGAGGCCAAAATGTCATTATTTAGTTTCGTGACGTCATTTATGAGTTCTAATTCCTATTCGTTGTAAAGAGTACGTGATATTCTTAGTATATACTTGCCTAAACTTGTATAAGTTTGAGTTATTGCTGAGAACTTTATACAATATTTCAATAAATTCGTTTCATATCTTTAAAGATTTTATATTTCTTACAATTCTTTAACTTATTCAAATTCATAATGATACTAGGATTTAATTATTTTAAACATTACATTGTTTAGTAAAGTATGGAGAATGTCAATAAAATACTTTACGGTAAGTTAAACCTTAATTCTAGTACTTGATAGAAAAAAATTGAGAGTATTTTCAAGCTTTAATACCTCGTTTAGGTGTCGCAAATTTAAAATTTGCAAGACATAAGCATAGTAAAATTGCTAAATTACAGTAGAAAGAGATGCGTAATCCGATTCCTCATAATTCATTCGCCTTTGACATAACGGATCCCTAAAGGTCACTCTGATTTTAGCTTGTTTGGATTATTGTTACGCGATATATAAACTATAAAAAAAGGCAAAACATATTTATTTAATAGTTGCCTATGCTAATGATTCAGCCGTACGATCGAAGCACATAAATCTATAGAATTGTTAAGAAATTATAGGCCTAACGCTATATAGATGTTCTCTTATTCACTTTAATATCATTGAGAGAAAGCGATGTGTAATTTAGTTTAAGTTACTAGAATTTCATTAGGCTGTAATTATATTTCCCATTAAAGGTACGATAACTATTCAGCATCCATTCAATGATTTAAAGGAGATATTATAATGAAATAGAATATGAAAGGGTGTGCTAGAAGCGTATTTTCTTTTGTAGCAATGCATTTTGTGGTCTTATATTATGGAAAAAGTCGAATGTGTAAGCATAGGTCGAGTCGCTCTTTCACAACAGCCATAAAGATCCGCCATGTTTACCGGAGGAGGATCAGTTTTAACATTAAAAACAAAGCCCCACTCGAACGGATCGATAAGGAGAAAAACAATCTATCGGAGACGAGCTGCTGCCATCTTTAAAACGTGGAGAAAATAAGCTTAACAGCTCAGAAACTGTCTTAATTATGGAGCTATCGATGATGCTGCTGCAGAAACAATTAACAAGGCGAATTCCGACGGGGGAGTCACACTCTGCAACAAAACGACAACTATTAAATTGACATACGAGTCAGACAGACCCCAGGGCGGAAAAAACAATAGCATCAAGAGAACAATACTGAAGGGATGCGGGATCTCTCCCCTGTTACTTATCGGGGTGTTCTACCTCTCCATTGAAGTGTAGCGGACCGTTGAGTCTCCCACAAATGAGTAGAACGTGATTAACAACTATTTATTCGCGACACAAATGATAGATAAGTACCCGTGGCTGACTGCATTCGAGGGCTATTGATTGACAATCGTTCCTACATGCGAGCCCTGCTCATTATCTGATCCAGTTGAGTGCCCCTCCCCCGCCTCTCTCGTGCAAATTCTGCTCCAACTCGACGTAGTCCTGAAAACTCACGACAGGCCAAACCTTACGACCCCGCTGCGGATTAAATTTTCGTCCATACATCACAGTAGCATGGCAAACAAATTGGCATCGGCACGCATTTCGTCCCTTTCAAAACTATTGGTTTTTAATGAGGGTTTCCATGTTTACTTTAACCCACCCTATCCAGCCTCATAAATTTTAAGTATCTCTATTTCCATCCATATTTTTGTTTTTCTCTTTTAGTTCATTCGTATCGTAAAACTTTTGTATTTAGCAAGGTAGGAGAATGACAATATTTAACTGCTGTTTATCTGTTCTCAACTCTCGAGAAAATAATTAGAAAAAAATATCCTGAGTCCTGATAGGGAGAATGTTTCCAGTTAATCCCCTTAACCACAATCTGGGTTTATCTGTCTGTGGTTGTCGATAAGGTAAGAGGTATAAACCAAGGTTATCCGGGAGGTGATTGGCAACAGTTAATGGATGGCCCGTCTAGGGACAGCTGATGTTGACATAACTGAGGACAATGGAAATTTTCTCGTACACTTTTCCATCCTATCGCTTCCGATGAACAAACATCGTATTTTAGGATCAATGTCAAGTCTGGATCAAACTAGCTGGTAGCAAGCGGGTCGAAATTTGCTAAAACATCCAATGAGAGTCGACACGCTCCCGAACGCCATTTTGAAGTCGGTTATGATGCAAAGTAGGCCTAAACTTGCGGTTTATAATCCCCTTTTTCATTTCCGAATTCCTCTTAATAGAAACACATTAAAACAGATTAAATTTACTGCTAGAAAATAAAATAAATTCCTGTGCTTTTTTTTTTCTTATTCATGGACTTTTTAAGGCCTAGGCGACGGTTGGGGATCGACGCCACCTCCTCCAAATCCCAGAGAAGGTACCATCAAGGAGTTAGGATCACACCTGCTACAGGTAATTTTTCTTATTTGCAATTTTACTTTTCAGAATTTAATAATTGACTCTTCAACACCCAGGTCTGAAGTGGGGGGAAACGGTAAACAAAATAGAAAAAGACTGTAGATCGGTGATTTTGCTAAGAGATCTTATGTGCTGTAGGTTTTCCACTTTCTAAAGCAGGAAGAGGTAATTTGTCACCCGTCTTTAAAACGTGCCCCCGCATTCGATTGTTGCTGCAGGTTAAACATCGTTAAGAAACCCTTGCCTTTCAGAATGCACAGAATGGTTTATATTGGATGGCTATTGCAATGCAGATTGGAATATTTATGATTTGTCATGAGAATATTTTTGTACCAGAAGTGTTTTTCTTATATATTTTTCAGCTTTGATTGATGCTGTTTAGTTTCCAACATGTACAATTTCTCCAATGAAACTTCACATTTATTTAAATCCCGGAGAAAGTTTTTATAATTACTTTTCTTCTAACACATCCGCTAAGATTTAACTCCTACACTTAATCTGAATATTTTTTTACAAAAGTTAAAAATTATTTTCTCTCTCCGCAATGAAATTTACAACTCTATGTCACAGACTGATCTACAATTTAAATCTAAAACCGCGCAAAATTCTCTATAGGCCTACTAGGGCTTTAGAATTTCTAGAATAGCCCGAAAGTGGCATGATGCCAACCTTCTTTCCAGTCATTCTCTAATGCAATAAACTACGTATTTTTTAATCTACTCGTATATAATTTTGTAATATTTCACTGAAATTTTAAGCATCCAGAAGTTCTAGGTGTGATGGAATGGCTGCAATCTGCATCGATACGAGCAAAAATACTAGTTTTAAGTCAGTAAAACTCTGTAGTAGTTTGCTATGGTGGTTGTCGCGTTTCACAACTGACCACACTAATAACGAAACGGTTTCGTATTACAAGAGAAAAGCAGAAGGTTCCTCAGTATTCAAGGTAAAAAGTAGACTTCGCCGTTGCTCCGCGACCAAAAATGAATGTGCATTTATCTACAAACATATCCAGTTACTATAATCTGTACAGGGTAATAAATCTAGTCGGGTCGACACGGGTTAGTTGATCACCCGTCCAATGACAATAGAGACAGAGAGGTAAAAGTTAGTCGGTGCGGCCAAAGAGCAATGACTATACGTCATCGGTGAGAGGCGTCCGTCATCTGACTGAATATTTTCTCTGACCTTTTTCCAGACGTTGGACGGTTTTGTGTTCGTGGTGGCACCGGATGGGAAGATCATGTATATTTCCGAAACGGCCTCGGTGCACCTTGGCCTCTCGCAAGTAAGTAAAAGAATTAATAAAAATGTCATCGTTTGACATACAAACACATGTTGGAAAAAAGAGATTAAAAATTTTAAGTGCTTGTTAATTATCAGGTAGAATTGACAGGCAACAGCATCTACGAGTACATCCATCCTGCAGATCACGACGAAATGACAGCGGTGCTTACTCTACAGCCACCTTTACCGCACGCTCACGTGGCACAAGGTAAATTCGACTTTTTAACTCTTCTACGCTTTGTTGCTCGTCTTGTTCCTGAATATTGTCGAATATTGTAGATTTCGAAATGGAAAGATCGTTTTTCTTGAGGATGAAATGCGTCTTGGCCAAGAGAAACGCGGGCTTGACTTCTGGTGGTTATAAGGTTGGAAAACAATTCAATCGATTCGAACCTTTTATTTGTCGCTTAGTTAATAAACCGCTTATTTTTCTTAGGTCATACACTGCAGTGGATATCTGAAGGTAAAGCATTACTCGATGGATGTGGCACCTTACGATGGCTGCTATCAAAATTTGGGTTTAGTTGCAGTAGGTCATTCTCTTCCTCCAAGTGCAATCACCGAAATTAAAATGTACAATAATATGTTTATGTTTCGCGCCAGTCTCGATCTCAAATTAATCTTCTTGGATGCAAGGTATGTGTGCAGGCCTTATTCTATTATAAAATTGAGTAATAATTAGTGTTGATAGGATTTATTTATCCATCAGAGTAGCACAACTAACAGGCTACGAACCGCAGGACTTAATTGAAAAAACGCTATATCATTACATACACGGCTGTGATAGTCTGCACATGAGGTATTCTCATCACACCTGTGAGTATGTTTCTTGACAGTAATAGTAATTTAATAAAAGTTCTGCACCAGCAGACCATTATTTTTCTGATGTTCGCACGTCCCTCTAACAATGCTATTTTTGTTTCTCTTTTAAAAAAAAAAAATTGTGAAGGACTTTACTTCGATATAACTTCCTATTCTCAACTTAGTAAATAATTTTTTAAGATGCCGAGTTCACTTACCAGGAATATTTACGTAATGTCTTTTTTCCTTTCTTCACTCTTAGTATTATTGAAAGGCCAAGTGACCACTAAATATTACCGATTTCTATCTAAAGACGGAGGTTGGGTTTGGATGCAGAGTTACGCCACCATCGTACATAACAGTAGGTCGTCTCGACCGCATTGTATTGTCAGTGTTAACTACGTGCTCAGGTAGGATCCATTTCTTGATATATGCATTTCTTTGTCAATTTCTTCTCTACTGATTTCTTCCATTTGCAGTGAACTAGAAGCTAAAGCGCTGCAATTGCAAATGGAGCAGCTGGAAAGCAGAACAGAACATATATTCCCTTCTGAGACATGTAGCCAGTCGCAGACGGGAAAAGTCAGGACCAACAGAAGTAAACCGAGAAGATCGCCATATCCATGTGTGGAATCAACAGAGCATAGTTCGGATCAGATTTTTGACGCTTCGCTGTACGACACGAACTCTCTACCGATACACTTGAATTCTTTCGGCAGCGTCCCCTATCAAGACGAAAGGTGTTTTCCCATCAATGCCAAACAATCGTATCCTGTATCCATGGGTCTTTTTACAGATGGGGGTTACATCTACTGCAATCAACAACGGTTAGCACCGTACGAGGAGCGAATCGGTTACTGCGATCCTGAAGAACGGTACATTACTCGCACTGACATGGCAAATTTTCCAGGTTATTCTAACAGTTCGACTACCCCCGAAATGGACGAGCTGAATCCCCATTTATCCTACCGTGCTCCCACGTCAGAGACATGTGTTTACAGTAGTACCATCCGCAATGCCACCAGTGACATCCTACAGAAATCCCACAATTTGTATCAAACGGGACCATTCAGCAACCAGTCGGATTCTACTCTATCCGAGTCAGATTTGGAAAGCTACCACGGGATGCAACCCCAAAGGTCCCCGTGCGACAGCCGAAGCGACAGTGTCATCGACACTTCATCGCCGGTAGCAAAGTCCAACTCTTCGACTCCCAGTATACCGATTAGAGGTAGAGAGGATCCCAAACCGGACCAACTGTGTTACACCACCAGTGCCTTACAAGTAACTACCCCAGCTACAACTTATAAGAGCGTCATCATACAGAACTCTCAAAATAACAGAAGTCCTTTATATCGTGGTGCTGTATTCAAAGAGTGTGACGGCAAGCAATTGTCCACCGACTTATACAGTAATCCGGAATATTTTAACAATCAAAGACCTTATACGGTAGCCAATTTGGACGATAAGTACTTGATGCTTCAGGAATGTGAAAGGACATCTCTGGATTCTTACGATACCGAGAACGATAAATTGACCACCCTACAGTCCAATTTACCTTGTAACGGTTTGGAATTCGCTAGGAATCCGACATTACAGCAACCCGGTTACACTAGCGTTATTGTAGATGCACAGCAGTACCAAATCACGAACGGTTTCGTTCACTAGGAACCGAGAGGCTATGAGCCTTCTCCTGTACAGTCTCTTTTTGTATATTGCTGTGGACTGCCAAGCTGGACTCGGGGTCATTAATTCATAATTTATTGGGAGGAAAAGCATCTTCGTCTATGAAGGATCTAAAATTTTTCCTTATATATTTTTTCCTTTCTTTTTTCTAGTCTGGCGGTTTAGATTGTAATCAGACCCTAGTCCGGCGAGGATAGGTCTATTTAGAAATGAATGTATGCGGAGGGTGTTGATATTAAAAAACAGAGAAAGTTTTCATGCAGTTTGTAGCTTCTACCTATCTCTTCATTTCTCAATATAAATTATATGTTCCTAAAGACACATACTCTCTTGTCATTAACAAATAGATTTCTTTTATATTCTAAAACACGATAAAATTCACCTGCGAAGTTGACAAAATGTTTATATCAATATTCTATGGGGTTTACCTCGTGATAAATTCTGTTAGCACTAGTGTAACGGGGCAGACATCGAGAATAAGGTTGACAGGAAAAAGGATACCCTTAGCAATGGTGCAGGTCTTGGCATTAGGCCATATATATTGTCAGGTTACCTGGCCTCGTTCAGAGGTCGTGTGAACTGTATGCTATGAATTTGGAACCTTTCTGCGTTTTAACATCGAACATAAACTAATTAGAAAGAGAAACGTGTTTTAAAGAAACACGTTTGGAAATTCTCATTTCATTTTGGTTTACGTTTAATTATAAAAATGAGATTAGTATATTTGGCGTGCTCTTTTTGGAAGCCGTATTTGTATGTAGAATCAGAGGCTTCATCACCTCAATGAATAAACCACTATGGTCACCATAGCAGCGGCACACAGTCCTTAGAGCGGTTCTGTTAAAGTTAGTGGCAATTTAGCGCTTCAAAGGTCTCTCGTTCCTTTTTACGTTTTTAGAACTTCAATTTTGTTTCGGTTGTTTTAATCTTTCTTGTTATTGTGTCGTTTTACTGAGTCGATTTTAGTTATTTGCTAAATGTACTTTATATCGACAAGAGTCCGACAGTAAATGGTTTAAAGTTAAAAAAAAGTTTATAATTTCATTCCATTTTGACCGAGTGGAAAAAATCTAAAGTCTTTTTAGATAATTTTCCATTATATTGAAAGAATAAATCTTTCGTGGCTGTTTACTTAAGGGTATTGATGTTAAACGCAAGTGTTTAATGTCGAATCGAATACGTCTAACCAATAATTTTTATGCAGCTTACGTATTATTACTTTCTAATAAGGTCCTTTTTACAGTTCTGCTATCGTGGAAAGGCAGACGTTGAATATAAAAACCAAAAGCAGAGAAGGACTAGATAAACATTATCAGCACTCTATCCCATTATGTCACCATTTGTTAACTAACCGATACAGTCGCGTGCCTATTTTCATCCCTCGTTTCACTAACTTCTGTAATATACGCATATGATTACAAGGACCAATGTCCAGCTGTCCTAACATGACGGTCATTAACAAGATATCACTTCAAATCCCCTTCCTCTATGGGTGGTCACGGGGCCTCCTCTCCTGTTATAAAGTCGGCGAGTCTTATGTTGTCAGGGGGACTGAAAAGAGGAAACCTGTCCCAACCGCATCCTAAAAAAAAGAGACTTGAATGCAATAGAAACCCGCTTACTGTTAACCTATTGTGCTACGTACAGACGTGTTTCTGCCCAACTTGTAGCGCTCCCGATTTATAGAAGATATTATGAACTAGGAGATCCCGTCGTAAATCTCAAAATTCGATTAACTCTCCAATCATGCCTTTATACGTGTAGGCCTATTAAAAGAAAAATTCAACACTTGTTGAGACCGTCCGTACTTTACCAAAATTCTTGCCGAATTTGGAAAAGTTTTAAGACATTTTAAGAAAAAGTACCATAAATCAAGTGAGGTACTGTTAAATTATAATCTTTCTGTTTGAAAAGATAAATCCCACAGTTGTTCAACACGACTTTTAACTACAGCATTAAGATCCTTACTGCAGTTGCTCTTGTCAATCGCGCGCGTAGCTATTACATTGACAACTCCAAACAGTTTCTCTCGATAAGTGCACGGCGTAACTGCGACATTTGTCAAGCCATTTCACCCAACAAATTATGACCGAACATCTGCTAACTTTAAAGAAAATTACTAACAAAACCATCTGGGCTAATGTACGAGAGCTCAAGTAGATTTTTTTCCCCCTCTTTCTACAGGACGGGCGTTTTTAGCATTACTTCTACCACTCTATAAATTTACCATCTTGCGCGGTAACACCTCCCTAGTACATAATTGATTGTATACAAGAAAGCGGAATGTTTGAAATAATTTGTGAGACCTCCATACAGTTTAATTTTGTCAGCGCTTTGTCGGGAAGAAGCACCTGTTGACTATTTTCTACCTTTTGATCTAGCGCCTTACAACGATCTAATTCTTTGATATGTCCAATCGTTAGACACCTGCAGGGTCATTTGTAAGGGTCAAGGGAAAGAGAGGGGTGACCTTGGGAACGCAGCTGGAAGTTAGGGGTCAAGAGGTAGTGCAGTATTAGGACACGGTAGTTAGTGCACGTGTTGGGTGGGTGGCACCCCGGGGCAACCATACGCCAATTAAGTTGGTCCTATTGTTAGTTTTGATCTCGTCTAGTGCGTTTTGATAATGATTACGTTCGATTAATAGCTAAGAAAGGCCCTCCCGAGGTGTTATTTGCTTATGGGTTTTCTATTAGAAATTTGGTGAGATTAGGGCCCCGATTACGACTCAACTCGGGGGGATTCGTGTGAAAATCTCAGGATAAAAGTAACCGCTCATAATCAGAGTTCTATAACAGGAGTGGTTCTTTTAAACAATAAAAACTATTCTCGACTTCGAATAGACTACAAAACGCGTTCGGTTTTAAGTGCAGATTTCTTCTTGGAACGAATTTAGTAAGAACACATTATAAACTCGCGGGTATAGTCCCTAGAGTGGAATTTTAACAAATAAACTTGTTTCCTCCTGCTTCAGAGAAATTGGTCACAAGATTATTTACCGATACACAACACCGGTAAACTGCAAATAGCAAAATGAATGTCAGTTTAGAAAACAGATAATTTATTATAGTTCGGAGACACATTTAAGGAAAAATAGTCTGGGAACGGCCTTGACTCAGAAAATACAACTGTTTCACACTGCTCAGTAACACTTGTGCAAATACACCTGGCCAAAGACCTCCTTCTAGTGTAACAACTCGGATTGACCACCATTCCATCCCAGGTAATAAAAGACACAAAAGTTTTTCATTCTTTATTAAAAATACTGTTAGGATAACAATATCGGTTACAGTTTGGGCAATTTCTTTAAAAACATTTTGCAGATAGATGGAGAGAGTGTGTGTGTGTGTGTGTCTGTGTGACGCATTTTGGAAGAGAAGCCGAAAGAACGAATTAACTATATCCCTATTCAATTTATGGTGTTTGAATAGGCAAATGTAACTGGGGGTGATGCTGTTGCAAGGCGGAGTGCTGTTTCCATCCGAGTATTAAGCTAGTTCTCAATCTCGGCCATTATTGGATCACGCGGACGTCCTCTACTAGCAAACCTTGCACATTAAGCCACACGGCTTTCATAATTATGGAATTCCATTTTACGGTATTTGCTGTAATGTACCGTCGTTCGCATTGATTAAGCTGCAAAGTAAACAAAACCCGACTGGGCTTGGTGGCAAAGTAATCGCTTCCTTGTCTCTTTGATTCACTCGTGTCGACTCTTGTTTCATTTTACAGGATTTTTCACCGCTTTAATGTCGCCTCTTGTTTCTATCTTCATCTTTTTTCTCTCCCCCCCTTTTTTTTAACGGACTTAACAATTTGCACCGCGGAAAGGTTTTGGAAAGATGCGTTAATTTCGAAAATAATTCTCAACCAAGCTGCTTTCTTATATATTTTGTTAATTGCGTGTACAAATTTATAAATTTTATATAATTATAACTCAATAATAGAATATGTTTGGTCATCGTCTACCAACAATGGAAAAAAATAGATGCTTTAAAAGCAATTCCGATAGACTTAAAGCGAGAAATCGCGACGTTCTCACTTATTAATTTTAGTAAAAAAAAAAAAAATGAAATGTTTTAGTTGTTTAATTAAAAAAGAAATTCATTTTCATTACAGAATTAATTCACGATGTTTACGTCAAATATTTAAAAATGTTTCTACCGTATTTAAATTATAAAATAAATTATTTAAGATTTTTAAACGAAGATTTACGTTCAAATCTAAGTACGATTGTGTTACTGATTTTTAAAAAAACACAAGAACTATTTGTATTTGGTGTACTGTACTGATTTTCTTCGTTATTTCAGTGGTTAGTAATTCAACAATTTAGATTCCGAGAGTTCATCGTGCTATTTATTTTATTGTAAACAGTTCCATTAGTTCTAAACAAAAAAGATTAGCAATGAAACTCGCAAGTTTAATCCTTCTTTCATGTGTTTACGAAGTACAAAGTCGACATAAATAGATTTAATCCTAAAGAGAGTATTATTACTCTCTCAAAAAAGGGTTACGTTACTTGTATTTTTGGTGATTGTTTATTTTGCAAGGCAATGCTAACGAGGTAAACCTGTTTACACCCTTTTCAAATGTGTTTCATTAGGTTTAAAACATAATCAGAAATTATATACAGTATATACATTACATTTATAAATCTAATTAAAGAAATTTTAAATCTTCGAAAGTTAAAAATGTATTAAATTAATGTATGAATTTTAAAAAAATGCGTTTCCATAAAGTAACAAACACGACACAATTTGATATGAAGTACAATGGGATAAAGTGCATTCACTTTACAAGAATTCCCTGAACATATACATCTGTGGATGTTGTTGTAGTTACGTCAGGAGGGATAGGATCAGTGTTCAACCACTCAACAACACGTGACTGGTAACACAGGTGATTCATTGGGTTCTCTAGATCTCGGACCCGTTCCGTTTTTACTTGAAGTGGAACGAACTTTCAATCTGTTTTGATCCCCTAACTATACTAGAGTGCGGCTTTATTGAGTTTTGTTTTTCTTGCAGACGGTGTGAACGTCACACCTGATCTTATTAATTGTGTCAATGTTAAAATTGAAATAATAGAATTAAAATATTTGATTTATTTATTTTATAAACATAGAAAAAAAGGTAACAAAAATCAGATTATTTCTATACTACATTACTGACTAAATAAGCCATTCAGGTTGATGTGGCGGTTACTATAACCTACGTAATTGTAATCGTATTGTTTGCCCTTTAAGAAACTAACTTTATCTTCCGGTTCCGGTCTGTAAGTGGCCATACTCTCCACATAAAAATATTGAGCTAGTTTTGCAGCGATGTTAAGCGATACATCACGTATAGACTGGAGGGGAGGATATACACGACCTTCTGAAATATGCTCTTTGGTCACCTGGTTAGCCAGAGCCTAGAAGGTAGCGCCAGCTGTTAGTCAAAATACAAACTATTCGGTAATACGGTAATAAATTACTCTTACCTTAGCTGCTACCAGAAAGGATTCGTCATTAATGTGATGTACGCCGCAACCTGTAACTGCAAGAGCCATTCCAGGAAATATGTAAGCGTTGTTTCCTTGTCCAGGATGATAAGTTTTACCCTGGTAGGTGAAAGGAGGAAAGGGACTACCGCTAGCGAAAACACATTTACCCTATCCAAAAAAAAATTATTAATTATTTCAGGTTTATATTGTACAAAATTCGTTAGTTTTATTCAACGAGAATTACTTCTGTGTAAGTGTACGCTTCCTCTGCTGTACACTCTGCTTTATCGGTCGGGTTACTCAATGCAAATACTACAGGATGATCTGACATGGAAGCCATGGCTTTCAATACAGCCGGTGTGAAAACACCTTTTTGGGCTGAAACGCCTGTTTATAAACGAAATTCTTAATACTTATTATTATAAATAATAAATTGTATAATAAATGCAAAAATACCTATTAAAACGGTTGGCTTAACAAATTTAACTATTTCTTCTAAATTTTGTATTGGATGACATTCTTTGGCATATTTCCCTTTATGTGCATTTATGCCACCGCTTGGACGATTCTATGAAACAAATAATTAAAAAAAAAAATTAATAAAATATTTTCTTTTACTTAAACCTTTAGCGCCATCTGCAATCAATTTTGTGAACTATAACACAGCAAGGTAATTGTTCAATAAACACACAAAATAACCGTAAATAAAATTAGAAAATAAATCAGAAAGTGCTGTTCGAAACTAAAACATAAAATAAATCGAGTTTATTTGATGTAAAATACGATAAAAATTAATTTTCTTACATTTACGAGCAGACTTAATAAAGATTTTAATCTTCCTTGACCTATTTTGAGCAAATTTACCTTTTGGGAATTTGTCATTTAGCCAAGTGAACGAATTTATCTTTAAACATTTGAATAATATATACAATTGAAATATTAATTAGGTATACCTTAACGATGAGACCCTTAGAATCTATCATCCAAATTCGACTAGTAGCCTCGTCTTTCGATAGACCTTCTTGATCCATAGCCATAACTAGTAGATCGGCAGTTCCCAGCGCTGCCTATTTTACAGAAATAAATAATTTTTTAAAATAATAACAACGTTATTATTATTATTATAAATATAAATAAAATAGCCAAACGTACTTCACCAGCACCCTGAAATAAAAATATGTTCTGTGATAATTTTTTTCCTGTTATTTTTAAACTTGCAATAATACCCGCAACAGCGACGGAAGCTGTACCTAAGAGAAATATTTAAATACATGAATCATTCTTAAATAAATCTTTATACGAAATTCTTCGAATTTTGTTCTACACACCTTGAATATCATCGTTAAAAGTACAATAATGATACTTGTATTTTTCTAGTAATCTGAATGCATTACTGTTACCGAAATCTTCGAATTGTATTAAACAGAATCGACCAAATCTATTGAAAAACACTTATAATTTATATATGTTTATGATATTTATAATTATAAAAACAAAATATGTAATACTTTTTGACTATAGCTTCCATAAACTCTTCTATAAAATCGTCATATTCTGGTCCCCTAACCCTTTTCTGTTTAAGACCAATATAAAAAGGATCTGCAAGTAATCCCTATTTTATAAAAAAATAAAAANACAGTAGATGCCAAAATCCTGGAGGATAAAATTTGATATGATTCCAATATAATACTTTCCATGTTACATACATAGCAAGGTTTTCCCCAGGGAAAGCAAAAGGAAACTTCAATATAGGTTTTCCTTCTGATATTTAAAAAGTAATTTTATTTATTAAGTATTTAGATTCATTTTCTTATTACTATTTAATCTTCATTTAATTCGTTTAATTACAATAAAATACATACCATTATGCTCTTAATTTATTATAATTAGGCTACTTAAACTTTTATCTATATATTTGAGTGATTTCTTCTACAATTTCCAAAATATATAAATATAATTAAAATGTTCTGTAGAGTACATCCAGTTAGTTAAATATTAATAACTTTGCCATCATTAGACCCAAATCCACACAGAATAATAACTTGCAAATAGGGTTTGTGATGGCTCTATATTTGGTTTAAGGACAGAAATGTTTTGTGACAATTTATTAATTAAAATTTTACTTACTTTACCACTTGGAAAATAATTATAAGAGTTAATACTCCTATGATTAAGCATTTCTTGATAATCATAAGCTTTACTTTTGATAAGATATTCAAATATAGATTGGTATTCCGAAAAGTGGCCATTTTCTTATGTCATTATTCCACGATTTTATAATACTAATTGATGAAAATAAATTAGAAAATACGAGTTTGTAAAAGAAACTATACAAAAATCCGAAAATTTTGCATTAGACTTGAATATCATAGAATTAAGTCTAATGCATTGGATGCATCATGCATCATGAATGAGTGAGTAATCGTGTAAGACTATTCATTCATAGCTTTTGTTTAACTATTCGAAGTTCTGTTTAAAGAACTACATTATTTACTTGAATTATTAAAGTATTTATTAAATTTTATTTTATAATAAAATATATTAAATTTTTAAACTATTTANTTTACCTAAAAGTTATGTCAATTATTATTGCATATAAAACAAATCACTATTTGTACAAGGATAAAAAAAAAAGTCATTGTTAAAATTTCCTGGAGTGAAATAATGTTAATATATTAAAATGAAAACATTCAAGCGGATATTGAGATATAACGCTTACGCAATTATTTCGAAAATTTACGGTTAGTTATTACAATAAAGTGATAAAATCCACTACTATTTTTTATTATTATAGATTTATAATATTTATTATTACCTTGGTCTTTCAAACAGAACACTGTATTTTAAGCATGCCAATCCAACTGTAGGGGTATATACTATAGGCATTAACAAATCGGTATGCTCACATAAGACGCGATAAAATAATCTTTCGTTGTCATCCTAAAAAATAATAAATGTATGTAATAAAAATATAAAGTCTGAAAGTGAATAGTTCAAAGTATAGTTCAAAGATTAAGTATCTTCTAAAAATATAATATTATTAAAGAGAAAACATTGATAAGAGGTGTGGTCGAATTTGTCAAGGTATATAATTATTTCTGGAAAAAAAAATTTTGTTTTTTTTTAATCCTATTTTATTTATCTTAAAATAACACTTCAAAATAAATAATTCAGTATTTGTTAAGTATAATTCAGTACCTGAAGTTGCCTCAAATATAGATATCGAGATAGATCATTCTCGTAACCTTTTAAGTTTTCTAAAACCGCTTTTACTTGTAATTCTGAACTTCTAACAGCTGGAGGTAGAAGTCCTCTCAATTTTAAAACTTCTCTTTCTCTTCCTGTATAAGCCAGGCCCTATAAAATATAATTTATATATATATATATATATAACTTATATTTGCAATAAAAAGTTTATAAAGAAGACGAAACAGGATAAATATTTGCAGTTATGCAATACAAGAAAAGTCCCGGAATGCGTAATTTCCCGTGTAAAATCCTACAGATATACAAAACACGTATAAATTAAAATATTGAAAGTGAAAATAGATCCTTATTTTCAAAATCGAGTTTGACCTTCACGGTTTTATATAAACTTAAGTTTTCGATAACCTTGAATACCTTAAAAAAGAAAATGTATAGTACAATTCAATTGGGAAACTCATTATCTACCGGATACTTATAACAATTCGGTTTAAAAGTAGTTAAAACAAGTACAAGAAACATTTATATACCGTCAAATTAAAAACGACTCTATGTCTTGACAATATATCATAAATTTTTTTTATAATTGTTAAGCAGTAATATATAAATATGGATTCTTATTCAAGATCAAACGCTGGTGACAATAGAAGGTTAATGTTAATCGATAAGAGCCCGATGAACTTATATCTGCTATGCTCCATAAACCACATTTAATAGAAGAATACATAAAGTATTATGAAGTCTTAATAATACTACACGCTTTATTTAATCTAAAAAAAGATCAATTTTAATCCTTATAAATATTTTATTCGAAATTATTTCCCTTATCTCTTAAGAAAAGCTTTACCAGACTATATAGGTTAATTGATATGGATCATGTTACTAACATCAATAAAAATCTAACAGTTTGTATTTATTTTGGAAAATAATTAAATACACCTGTCAATCAGAATGTTTTTTCTTTTTTAAATTTATTTATTTACCCATCGCCATTAATATTTTATAAAACATTTTTAATAAGCTACCTTGAATACTATGTTAGTACCTGTCGATGCTTACCACTTGGTGAAACCGGTTAGTTTTATATGTTCTGTTCATGACCTATAAACGCCAAATGAAGAATTAAAATTTACACGACATTCTGACAAATAATTACTTTCACCCGAAAACAGCAAATCAAACAGAGCATAAACTCTATAAAAATGCTCCAGATCAAAAAACACTGCATGACCGATTAAGCAAAGCTTACCAACGACGACGGATGCGAAATATTAAATATCTAACGTGTTTTTAAAAAAGTTAAATAATTAGAAATTGAATTTATATATATATATATATATATTTCAATCTTGTAATTTACTTCAAGCTTTTTGTATTTATAATCGGCTTTAGATACGTAACATAAATACACAAACTTAATGAAAGAAAAACGGAGTTAAAAACTTACCTTACATACTTTCGGATCCCTGATATATATAGTCAATGGGTGAGCATTTTCGATAGGTTTTTTACTTTTAATCTGTGCTGATTTGCATTCGCATTGCATTTTTTGATTGTTCAGTCCCATGGCGAAGCAAGAATGACAGCCAAGTCCAAGAAACAATCCCGATATACCTTGCGAGAAGCGAGTTGCTGTGTTTGATTTAACTCGTGATCAAAAGGAAACTCCGCTTGTGTTAAGACGACAGTTCGGATCTGATCATTAAAAGTCTTTCACGTGAAGATAACCTTACGCAGAAAAGGAGGGGGAAAAAAACTCTAACTGTGTTAATGAGTCATATATAAACAGTTAATATTATAAATATATATTATATTTATAAATTTTCTATATGATAAATTTACATAATGTTTATTTAATGAGGTTAAGGTTGTAACACTCGCTTAAGCAAACATCCCATTCTATAAATAATTATCGATGAAAAAAACGTTTATTATTGTGAGGTTTTATTTATATTATTTTTAATTATTTAAAACACGTATTATTTTTGGTTATTTCGCGTAAAATTATTAAAAAAACAGTATACGTCTATAAATTAGTTAATATAATTATCGCCAGATGGTGCCACGTATCGTCAAATTGAAAATTTATATAAAATTATTCTAATTTTTTAATACAGAAGACATTTAATTTTTTCTTTATTATATTTCCTGTTGAATTTTGTACTTGTTTTATTATTATTTTTTTAATTTTTAAATAATAAAAGACTTTAAAAAACAACTTAAAATCTCAGTGTTCAGTGACCGGAACTATGTAATAAGAGGTCATGTGAACTGAAAATGACTTCCATCCACATTAAAAATGATCTGACATGGCTGAATCTCAAAATGTAATTTTTACAATTAACCTTATTTCTGAGGAGGAATGCACTCCCTAACAATAGACTTTCTTTGTTTTTGACACAGATATACGCCATTGATAAAAACGCATTGCTCAACCGAACACGAGCTGAATGGCGACATCACGTGATGAACAGATGATCCTCTGCTAAAAACGCTTACTGTCTTTTATAAGATACGTGTTATGTAATTGATTAAAAATGTTAAAAAATTATTAAATAATATTAATTTATAAAAAATAAACTTAATATAACATGGTTTAGCATTAAAAAATATTTGATGCTTTCAATCACGTGATAAATTCATAAAGATCGACTGTTATTTTTAACATTTATTATTATTATTATTTATCATTATTATTATTATTTGTATAATATTTTACATAAGTTTAACTTATGTGAAAAATTCTATACACGTATATATATATTAATAATAATTAATTTAAAAAATCGAAATTTACTAAAATTATCTTTATATATTTTTAATATCAATATTTTGCCCCCTCCGAAGGGACTTGGGTTCTCAGGTAAAGGAAATTTCTGTTACAGTACCTGTGTACCTAATGAATTTTCTGGGGCCCGACATATCCGAGGTACAATGTCGTGCCCCATTCCTCACCGCCAGGACCGTTTAGAGGGAGAGCTGGAAATTTTCCTCAAATCCCGAGAAAGCTTAGGAGACTGTAATAGTTTCTTCTATAAATTCGTGTTACTTATATTAACGAAAATTAATTAGACTGCGATTTATTAATAAAGAATTATTATATGTTTTATTCGATAAAAAACGATAAAAAGAACTAGTTAAAGGCAAAAAGAACCCGTTATATGCAGGCCTCCATACCAATCTTACGACTCTACTCATCATCCAACTATCTCATTTGTGGGCTTAATAGAATTCAAGACAGGCCTATAACAAAAAGATCCCCTTAGATTAAAAAAAATATATATAAATTTCTTCGGAACACAATTTAAATTACCTTATACAGTATAAAATACAACTTTATATATATAAATTCTGTTAATATAAAAGTAATTTTTAATTATATTACGATTTAGCCTAATATACCAATTTTACGTTATAAATAAATAATTATTACCTTGTTTAAAGAAATAATTTGTTCCGAAATGCTAAAATAAATGGTAAAAAGTAGTTTTAAATAACTTAAAATCTTATAAAATGAAAACACCATTTTTAATCGGGTTAATATATTTTTTATCATTAATTTCAAATTATATAGAGCNATGGGGTCGGACTTAATGAAGATTTTATTCGTTATTAGTATTTACAACGTTTTATAAAACTCATCTCTTCCCTCAAAATTAAGCTTTATGCCATTTTATAATAAATAAGAATATAAAAATAATTTATAATAAAATCTCATAACAGATGGCGCCATACACAATTTTATTCATTATAATTAATAATGTAAAAGTTATTTTTAATAAAATCTCATGAGAGTGGGAAAGTTACGCAACTCGTTGCTGGAATTCTTTTTTTCTTATCTCTTCTTTCGTTTTTCATGTTAATAGTGTAGTGTTTTTACTACTATTGCTTTACTTTTCGTGAAAAACGAACGAGAGAGATCGTAACAAAACTGAGTTTATTGTCTTCCTCGCGTATATGGTACAGTTCTTGACGATGCGGCTAATAAAAGAACAACTAACAGTCAACGATCTTACTGGGTGAGTTCGAACTTGTTCCAGGAAGTGATGATTCGTACACCCGGGGTTCGTTGCTTGTTTTTTTACGACGGTTAATCTTTTAATACTAGTTTATTTTATTTTAACATTCACCTCGGATGAAAAGTCGGGAAAGTACAAAGGATAACTGCGAATTTTATCGAAGTTTCATCAGAGTTTATATATTTTTAATATAATTTAAGTAAAATGTTTTGTTTTGTACTTTATTTACCCGTATTATTATTATTATTATTAAAATAGTTTCAAATTGTGAGACTCACCAATAATTTAAATTTTCATAAAGAAAATAAACCTATATCCAAATATCCCTTGTAAAACACAGTAGTTACGTTCGGAAAAAGTGCCGTGCTATATGAAACAAGAGACTAATGCAAAACATGGAATTCGGTTCCAAAAGTTAATACAAGTATACTATTGTTTTTCATTACTAAAAGAAATACATTAATTAAAGCAATCAATAAATAAATAACAATCACAATTAAAAGTATAGTATTACGTGTTAACATTAATTTTCTTTTTACGTAATATCGTAATTTTCTGATCTTTTCTGTTGATCTTAATCAGAAATATCAACAACAACTTCATTTTCTTTTATTTTCATCATAAAATTTTTATGAGTGACAAAATAAAAATAGAAATGTTATTCATCGAAAATTTGTTCTAGCGGGTCGCTTTTGTTCAGTCGAGTACCGAGCGACTTTTTTTTCCAGATTTTGTGTTCGAATACCGAATTGTTCGAGTACCGAGATACCGCCTTTCGTTCGCCATCTTCAATGCGAAATAAACCATATAAACTGATGTAAAATTTAACAACAAGAACAGTCATTTTTATTCTTCAAACTATTTATATTATTATAAATAATTTTAAGAATAAAATAAAATATTATTTATAAATTTATATTAGCTGTAGCCTATAATAAATTATGTAAAAAATGTTTTTTTTATTTATGTTTAAATTCACTAAGGTACTGTAATAAGAGGCTTAAAAGATCGGTCCGTATTACCTCGGATAATTTGGCTTATACTGTATATATTGTGAAATAATATGTTTTATTCTTAAGAATTTTATCATTTTGTCACAAACTTGGCAAAACATTATATTGATTATGTAAAAAACTAAGCCAATTTTGTTTGACCTAACTAAAATCTCATATAATAAACGGGCTATAAATGACCTATTGAGAAATCTCTTTCGAATGAAAAATGATAAACTAAAATATCTTTCAAATATACTATAAGAAAGATGAGATAAACATTTTTTGAATGAAATATTCGAATTGTACTTCGAAAATGTTAGCTAAACATAAAAATACGATACATTTCGCACGTAAACTTAATTAGAGAATGAATATTATGGCTTAAGTTAGTGAGTTAGTTAATTTTGAATAGTGCAGTATTTGACACCATTCAAAATTAAGCATATCGTGATAAAAGATACATTAAGTAATTTCATTAAGATATTATTCTCAATCTTCTATTAATTATTTATTTTAATTAAGAATTATACTAACCATAGTCACCTAGATACCTACCAGGCCGGAACCTAATATATAGTGATGTAACAAGAGGAGCGCATATTGTAAATAGTTATTCCTGTCCAAAACTCTATATTTTGAAAAGCAAAGTTCATGTTTTGTTAACATTATTTGGTAATATAATTTAAATAGCTCCAGATTTATTAAAATGTCAAAAACTATTGAAATTTCAGCTTATGTACTGTACTGTACTTAGGTTATTTTATAAAATTTAATATCACATTTCTATCAGTAAATTGTCATAAATATTGAAGGCCTAGAAATTACTTATCTTGATCTTCCTTCTTGTGTTATGACAAAGAAATGACAAAAAGTTCCTATCTTGAGGCAGCACAAACAAGATTGATGGCCGAACGGCCAAGCGGTCAAGATGACAGCCTGCCGCTCTTGGGAATCCAGAATCGAATCCGGACGGGTCGAAATTTTTCACGAGGTGATACATCCGGATATGTTGGGTCCCGGTCCCTCACCACCCGGCTGCCCCATTGTGGGCCTGGCCGAATCCATAATGGGCTTGCTAAAAAGAATGCCCACAGAATGGAAAGAGTTAAAATATATATTGCTTTTATTTAGTGTGGCAGCTGGTAGAAAAATAAATTGTATAAAAAACGTAAATCTAAATGATCATATTTCAAGTCGGCAAATTGTTCAATTTTAATCACACAGTCAAAGAAAAGAAATAATACTTCCCCGAGACGTTCCGATTCAAAATGGCGTCGAAATACAATGAAGAAAAGTCGGAATTTTTGGAGATTTCTTCTTCGAGACAATGTCCAATAGTAGGAAAAAATAACAATTGGAAATAATTGTTAGATAAATGTGACGTCTCATGCATATTACGTAGAAATTTCTACGTCAAGGCATTAAACTACTACTACAGATGTCCAATATTATGTATAATTTTCAAAGATTTACCAGTTTATTGCGACGATTAATTCAGAAATTAATAAATACACGAATTAGAAATTTATATCAATGTCAAATAATTGACATCTCACAACCTGCTATGTTATATTAAAAAGGTTATTTCCCCATCTTTATTATATTAAAAAACGATTAATTCAGAAATTAATAAATACACGAATTAGAAATTTATATCAGTCAATTATTTGACATTGATATAAATTTCTAATTCGTGTATTTATTAATTTCTGAATTAATCGTCGCAATAAACTGGTAAATCTTTGAAAATTATACATAATATTGGACATCTGTAGTAGTAGTTTAATGCCTTGACGTAGAAATTTCTACGTAATATGCATGAGACGTCACATTTATCTAACAATTATTTCCAATTGTTATTTTTTCCTACTATTGGACATTGTCTCGAAGAAGAAATCTCCAGAAATTCCGACTTTTCTTCATTGTATTTCGACGCCATTTTGAATCGGAACGTCTCGGGGAAGTATTATTTCTTTTCTTTGACTGTGTGATTAAAATTGAACAATTTGCCGACTTGAAATATGATCATTTAGATTTACGTTTTTTATACAATTTATTTTTCTACCAGCTGCCACACTAAATAAAAGCAATATATATTTTAACTCTTTCCGTTCTGTGGGCATTCTTTTTAGCAAGCCCATTATGGATTCGGCCAGGCCCACAATGGGGCAGCCGGGTGGTGAGGGACCGGGACCCAACATATCCGGATGTATCACCTCGTGAAAAATTTCGACCCGTCCGGATTCGATTCTGGATTCCCAAGAGCGGCAGGCTGTCATCTTGACCGCTTGGCCGTTCGGCCATCAATCTTGTTTGTGCTGCCTCAAGATAGGAACTTTTTGTCATTTCTTTGTCATAACACAAGAAGGAAGATCAAGATAAGTAATTTCTAGGCCTTCAATATTTATGACAATTTACTGATAGAAATGTGATATTAAATTTTATAAAATAACCTAAGTACAGTACAGTACATAAGCTGAAATTTCAATAGTTTTTGACATTTTAATAAATCTGGAGCTATTTAAATTATATTACCAAATAATGTTAACAAAACATGAACTTTGCTTTTCAAAATATAGAGTTTTGGACAGGAATAACTATTTACAATATGCGCTCCTCTTGTTACATCACTATATATTAGGTTCCGGCCTGGTAGGTATCTAGGTGACTATGGTTAGTATAATTCTTAATTAAAATAAATAATTAATAGAAGATTGAGAATAATATCTTAATGAAATTACTTAATGTATCTTTTATCACGATATGCTTAATTTTGAATGGTGTCAAATACTGCACTATTCAAAATTAACTAACTCACTAACTTAAGCCATAATATTCATTCTCTAATTAAGTTTACGTGCGAAATGTATCGTATTTTTATGTTTAGCTAACATTTTCGAAGTACAATTCGAATATTTCATTCAAAAAATGTTTATCTCATCTTTCTTATAGTATATTTGAAAGATATTTTAGTTTATCATTTTTCATTCGAAAGAGATTTCTCAATAGGTCATTTATAGCCCGTTTATTATATGAGATTTTAGTTAGGTCAAACAAAATTGGCTTAGTTTTTTACATAATCAATATAATGTTTTGCCAAGTTTGTGACAAAATGATAAAATTCTTAAGAATAAAACATATTATTTCACAATATATACAGTATAAGCCAAATTATCCGAGGTAATACGGACCGATCTTTTAAGCCTCTTATTACAGTACCTTAGTGAATTTAAACATAAATAAAAAAAACATTTTTTACATAATTTATTATAGGCTACAGCTAATATAAATTTATAAATAATATTTTATTTTATTCTTAAAATTATTTATAATAATATAAATAGTTTGAAGAATAAAAATGACTGTTCTTGTTGTTAAATTTTACATCAGTTTATATGGTTTATTTCGCATTGAAGATGGCGAACGAAAGGCGGTATCTCGGTACTCGAACAATTCGGTATTCGAACACAAAATCTGGAAAAAAAAGTCGCTCGGTACTCGACTGAACAAAAGCGACCCGCTAGAACAAATTTTCGATGAATAACATTTCTATTTTTATTTTGTCACTCATAAAAATTTTATGATGAAAATAAAAGAAAATGAAGTTGTTGTTGATATTTCTGATTAAGATCAACAGAAAAGATCAGAAAATTACGATATTACGTAAAAAGAAAATTAATGTTAACACGTAATACTATACTTTTAATTGTGATTGTTATTTATTTATTGATTGCTTTAATTAATGTATTTCTTTTAGTAATGAAAAACAATAGTATACTTGTATTAACTTTTGGAACCGAATTCCATGTTTTGCATTAGTCTCTTGTTTCATATAGCACGGCACTTTTTCCGAACGTAACTACTGTGTTTTACAAGGGATATTTGGATATAGGTTTATTTTCTTTATGAAAATTTAAATTATTGGTGAGTCTCACAATTTGAAACTATTTTAATAATAATAATAATAATACGGGTAAATAAAGTACAAAACAAAACATTTTACTTAAATTATATTAAAAATATATAAACTCTGATGAAACTTCGATAAAATTCGCAGTTATCCTTTGTACTTTCCCGACTTTTCATCCGAGGTGAATGTTAAAATAAAATAAACTAGTATTAAAAGATTAACCGTCGTAAAAAAACAAGCAACGAACCCCGGGTGTACGAATCATCACTTCCTGGAACAAGTTCGAACTCACCCAGTAAGATCGTTGACTGTTAGTTGTTCTTTTATTAGCCGCATCGTCAAGAACTGTACCATATACGCGAGGAAGACAATAAACTCAGTTTTGTTACGATCTCTCTCGTTCGTTTTTCACGAAAAGTAAAGCAATAGTAGTAAAAACACTACACTATTAACATGAAAAACGAAAGAAGAGATAAGAAAAAAAGAATTCCAGCAACGAGTTGCGTAACTTTCCCACTCTCATGAGATTTTATTAAAAATAACTTTTACATTATTAATTATAATGAATAAAATTGTGTATGGCGCCATCTGTTATGAGATTTTATTATAAATTATTTTTATATTCTTATTTATTATAAAATGGCATAAAGCTTAATTTTGAGGGAAGAGATGAGTTTTATAAAACGTTGTAAATACTAATAACGAATAAAATCTTCATTAAGTCCGACCCCATTCGAAATATACATAACCTCCCACTATCTCCTCATTCCCTCAACCTTTAAACACGAAAATTTAATACTATTAATGCCCCTAATACTCCTACATCCCTGCATAATTTCGTTTCTTCATCATTACCCCATCCTGAGATATTAAACGAAATACAGTAGATGCCAAAATCCTGGAGGATAAAATTTGATATGATTCCAATATAATACTTTCCATGTTACATACATAGCAAGGTTTTCCCCAGGGAAAGCAAAAGGAAACTTCAATATAGGTTTTCCTTCTGATATTTAAAAAGTAATTTTATTTATTAAGTATTTAGATTCATTTTCTTATTACTATTTAATCTTCATTTAATTCGTTTAATTACAATAAAATACATACCATTATGCTCTTAATTTATTATAATTAGGCTACTTAAACTTTTATCTATATATTTGAGTGATTTCTTCTACAATTTCCAAAATATATAAATATAATTAAAATGTTCTGTAGAGTACATCCAGTTAGTTAAATATTAATAACTTTGCCATCATTAGACCCAAATCCACACAGAATAATAACTTGCAAATAGGGTTTGTGATGGCTCTATATTTGGTTTAAGGACAGAAATGTTTTGTGACAATTTATTAATTAAAATTTCACTTACTTTACCACTTGAAAAATAATTATAAGAGTTAATACTCCTATGATTAAGCATTTCTTGATAATCATAGGCTTTACTTTTGATAAGATATTCAAATATAGATTGGTATTCCGAAAAGTGGCCATTTTCTTATGTCATTATTCCACGATTTTATAATACTAATTGATGAAAATAAATTAGAAAATACGAGTTTGTAAAAGAAACTATACAAAAATCCGAAAATTTTGCATTAGACTTGAATATCATAGAATTAAGTCTAATGCATTGGATGCATCATGCATCATGAATGAGTGAGTAATCGTGTAAGACTATTCATTCATAGCTTTTGTTTAACTATTCGAAGTTCTGTTTAAAGAACTACATTATTTACTTGAATTATTAAAGTATTTATTAAATTTTATTTTATAATAAAATATATTAAATTTTTAAACTATTTAAACTTTATAGCTACAATATAATCTCTGCTTATCATCTAATATAAAATTAATATCCAAATGTGTATATATTCTATTTAATTGAAATTTATCTTTACTTTATCTCCGTCAAACTCCAATTTCCAATCTAATTTCTTAAACTTTGTGCTTAACGTAATTAGAATTTATATCTAGTTTAATTACACTAAAACAATTAAAAGAAAATTTAATTATATTATAATTAAAAAAGAAACTTTAAAGTATTAGAAAATAAAACTTAAATTTTTTACTTCACATAATTTGAAAGTAAACATCCCAAATATAAATTTTACATTTTTAAATTGATTTAAAATCAAGATTTTTAACTTTTCATTTAATATATTTTCTACGCTAAGTTTTACAAATAAGTCAGAATTATGTAAACATCAGAAACAATAAGAATAGCTGAATACACTGAGTCATGTCATGTTATTGTTTGTAGCTATTGATTTTGGAAAATACCCATTTTAAGAAATAAACTTTACACGTTTGTCATGCTCTTCCATTATCTATGTCAGAGATATTACAATAGATAACACTTAACAAAACTGTTATAGCGCTGTTCAACAACAGAGATAGAAAGATGTGCGACTATACTCATCAGTTTGGAGTTATCGTCATTGGTGATAGCGCTTGTGGTAAAACAGCTTTAGTTAAACGTTTTACAACTGGCACGTATAATCCGTCTTACGATTCTACGATAGGTGTCGATTTTGCTTTAAAACTAGTAGAAGTAAATAAAGTCAAAATACGTTTACAAATATGGGATACCGCAGGCCAAGAGAGATTCAGGTATAGTGTTATTCGGGCTTATTATAGTTATATGTTTTACTTTAGCTAATGACTCCATCAGATTTGTTTTAAACTCGAATATATGCACTTTTATTTAAAAAAAAAAACTTTCTGATACTTTAACATTTATACGATTATTAAATAAACTGAATATTTTAATACAAAATATTAATGATTGTGTTTATATTAAATAATACGTAATAATATTTTAGAATATATCAAGAAATTTCGTTTCTATTTACCATATTCTTAAACTTTTCATTATATGTACTGTACGTTTGTGTTTTTAAATATATTTATCTTCATAAATAAATAATTTAAATCTGTACATGATATATTTTAAAACACATCGATTATCATCATTTTTAGGTCAATATCTCATGCTTACTATCGCAAGGCATCTGGAGTATTCCTTGCTTATGATGTCAATGATAGAGTTAGTTTCCGACATATTTTGGACTGGTTAAAACAAGCAAGAAAATACACAGATAATCCCATTTTTCAGGTTGAAACATTTTCTTTCTTTTTTTTTNGCATTCGAATACGCACGTGTTTTTATATAATATACATGTCGAAATTCCCCCCACTGAAGGGAGATGGCTTACGGTAAAGAACTCTGTTTCTATTTATACGATTTTAGATGCGGGTTTTTGCGTTTTTGATTGCGTTTTAATAGGGTACGTCAACAGAATGTACAGTACACTAAGAAGGGATTTTTCGATATTCCCCGCGGGGGAGAAAGACAGAATTAAGACTTACCGCGAAGAACTTGGCTTCTATTATATTATTTTAGATGCGGGTTTTTGCGTTTTTGATTACGTTTTAATAGGGTACGTCAAGAGAATGTACACTAAGAAGAATTTTTTCGAAAAATTTCCCCCCACGGGGGAAGTGTTATACATTTATAATAGATACATTTTGAGCCACAACAACGCGTGGCGGGGTCTGCTAGTTATGTAATACCTGTACAGTAAAACATGTTTAAACGTAAGCTTTGCGATTGCAAAACTTCGTGTTTGCATTTGGCAATTTTACAATAAAAATGATCGCAACTGCGTGCATTTACTTGATATAGTTTAAAAATGGAAAAAAGAAAAAAAAAAGAAAGAATACACTAAACTGTTCAAACGGAAGCTGCCAAAGCGGAAAAAAAATTGGTATCGTGCGATTCCGGTTTATGCACGTTTTACTGTGTTATATACTAATTTGTAAGATAAGTATATAACAACTAATAATAGATAACTATAATAGATTTGATTTAATAGATAACTATATATAAAAACATTTCTTGAAGTTTTTAACATTTAATTTCAAATGGAATTCAACATAAATTATTATCACAGAAAAATTTAATGTTTCCATTGTGTCATATAATCAAACTGATTAGAATCTAATACGTGTGTCGTCGTAAGTTTAATCAGTGTCATAAAAATATTAAACATGTCATGTTTAATATCTGTCTAATTATAAATCGATTATATATGGATTTAAAAATAATGCACATTTCGTAATCTAAATAGAATTTTTAAAGTCATTTCCTTCATTTATAGTTAATGGGAGAATCTTATTAAAAAATAATACACTTTAACTTCACAACAATAAAACAATATTTTATCTTCATATGATTTTTTTTAAAATTTTCTTTTTGGTTCTCCCCAATAAAAGAGCCTTCTTTCCATACTCATCGTGGATTTGGGTCATAATGGGTGCAGTCGGGTAATAAGACAGACCGAACATATCCCACAGGATGAGTACTAAGAGGGCTTTTTTAAAAATATATGAGCCTAGATCTATTGAAAAATTTCGATACAATATTCCTAATATTCAGTATTCCCGCTGCACAACGCAAAACTGATTGTTTATTGTATGATTCCTGATAGTTTATGCCAGTTGTGTAAATAACTTTCAGCTGAATACATAAATTTATAATGACTATTTTCATCAGCATGTGCTAATAATTCACTTAATTTTGCTCATTTCAAAGAGAATTTAGTCAGAAAATATAAATGTTACGAAAGAAAAATATCAAAAATTTATTCCAGAATGTTCTAAATTATTTAATAAATTATTATAATCATTAATTTAGATAAGAGATAGCGCCTGAGGTATGCCTCTAGTGCCAAATTACTTAGTTTCTAATTATTAACTTTAGCATAATAATAGCCTGATTAATTAACGAGAGTTTGGATTAGTATAAAAAATATGAATGCAGAAAAACTTTTTGTATTACATCATTCTATGTATTTTTAATTTAGAATTTTACTATATTATTATTATTATTTGTTTTACTGTATAAAAACAGACACTGAAAAAACATTTGATGATATTTTTTTAGTTTTTATTACCTTCATAATTAAATATGTTGTGCTCTTGCAAACTTTTTTTCTTCCGAATCGTTTGAAAGCCCTAATATGCCAACGACTAAAAAAATAATCTAGTGCAAGTTTTTTAATTAATTAAATTTATTTACAAAAGGACAAAAGAAAACTTCTGTTTGTGAAATACATTATAAAATTTCTTTAATATTATAAATTAATTTGTTCAAGGTATTATTCATTAGATAAAGAAGCCATTATCTATATTAGTTTTATATTTCGCCTCTGTATTAAAAATCTATTTTGCTTAATATCTGTATAGAATTTCAGAAAATTTTATGTAAATATGAAACTAACTCCGGGGAAGAAACTAAAATTAAAATTGAAACTTTTAAATTAAAAGTAAACGAAAATTATCAAGTAAAGAAAGAAATTTCATTGAGATAAAACAATATCACATCCTCTTATCGTTTAGAAGTGCTTCTTGTAAAATGAAAACAATTAGAAATAATTGAAAGTATATTACTTTCTATATCTTAATTTTTCATTTTTAATATTTTTACTTTTCCGACTCTATTATATATAGTCTAACATTGAGAAAATATGATTCAAAAACGACCCCCCTCAAAATTTTTACATTTTTGGACTTCAAAGGGACCTGAAGCATTTCGAGGTTCCCTGAGTCCAAAAATGTGAAAATCTTCGGGAGGGAACCATTTTTTGATCGATCGCCGAACTTCCTTCTGCTATAAAGGCCTATATATTGTAACCGGGAAAATAAAAACGGAGCTTAATCTTTTATTGTTCTATGCCAGTACGTACTTTTGAAATAGCTTCCAGAATTTAGTATTTGCTTTTAAAGCATGAAAACAAACAAATTGCACTTGGCATTTCCATCAAAAACAAAAATTTGATCTCTTTCCCCGATTCACTATATTCATAAAAAGTACGAAAATAAAACTTCATTTTCAAATCTCTCGCGCTTTTTTCCCTCAAGCGGTCATCTAAGTAAAAACTTATTTTAAAATACTTAGTAATTTAAAATTATTTTAAATGTTTTAATATATTTAAAATAGGCCTAATTTTCGTACAGTCGAGCACCTGCAAGATAGCTGCGTTATGTTCCCTTATCCGAAGTAACAAGATCACTCAGAGGATTGTTAATGGTATTCGATTCGCGCCACTTTATCGTGTCTTAGGTGCTTTGCGTAACTTTTACAATACACTTCAAAAAGTTAACTTTACTACACTTACATGATATTGGTTTCCATTTTTACATTATCAATTTTGTTATTCTATCGAATAATCAGTAAAAACAGTATATTTACCAGTCACATTATTTTCATTTATATCCAGAAATACATAGATCTAGCTGAAAAGATGCGAACATTCTGCTTAAAATTTTCTGGTTATACTATTGTCGAATGGCACGTACTGTACAGTATAAAAACGAATAAGTACAGTACCGCCTTAAAGTAGTGTAAACTCCGAAATCTAGTCGTTAATCACTTCTTGCCTCGCGTCCTCTCGAGATGAGGGTGTATGTGATCCGCGCTGTATATTAGAAAACTGACTAATGGAAGATTTCACAAAATCTCACTATTATAGTATAGAGAGCTCTGTTGCCACGTGCCCTGGTCGATCACTGTACCGTGTGATTAAAGATAGACTCTTATAAATCTTCTCTAGAATAGTGCACCCTTATGCGGACGGTTATCCAGTGCTCTGTTAACAGGAGTTTCACTAATGTAAAAGACAGGAAAGAAAATCGGAGTGTGCTCTTTCCGTTCGTTATCCGGTGTTAAGTGGACTCGACTGTATAAACTAAGAAATTTTGTGTTCAAAATTTCTTAGTTTATACAGTCAGTGTTTTATAGTATTTAGGAAAACTAAATACTATAAAACACTAAATACAATAAGTTGTAATTTTATCTAAAGGAAATTGTAAGTTATCAAATATATTTTATCAATTTAAGTACTGGTTGCATTAAATAATTTTGATTTCAGAATTATTGCAGGTAACTTAAGTAACCTTATGCAATTGTAGATATATTAGATTAATCATTTTAAAAAGTGCTTTAAAAAACTGATATATTATCTTCAGCTTCTTATAATAAGAAGTTCTCGACATTATTCATAAAATCTATATTCATTAAATCTATTTAATTAATGAATGGATAAAAATCGTTTTTCATCAAAACATTTTGAGAAATGTATCTTATAAAACTGTTCCACTTTTCTGTGAATAATTATATTAAAGATTTAAGAAATAGCTGATGTAAGAAACTGAAGATAAGATATAAAATAGAATAAGAAATATGACAAAATTCGCTTGCTATAATTATGTTTACTGGTTAGAATTATATACGAATAAAGACTTAGAATTTAAAGTTATTTATTTCTATACTTAACTTTAAAAAAAAAAAAAACCACTTAAGTAGAATTTAAAGAATATGTAACGATATTATGGAAGAGCTTATCATGTGCTGTTTTTTAATAAATCTACAATCGTTCACAGGAAAGAGAAAGTTTTTATAAGATAAATATTAATAAGTAATTAGTAATGTAATAAAAAATATTGACATTTATCAATATTTTATGACGTAAAAATATTTTTATTCATTCATTAAATCTATTTGCCAAAAACAAATATTTCAAATACCTTAAGCGAATTTATCAATAAATTCGGTTATTTAATTCGAAATGCTGAACTATTTAATAAAAGAAAAAAAAATTATCAAAAAAGGAAACAGTTTTGTCACGTCAGGATAAGACAAGCACATTGCCACTTAAAATAGATTGTGTTGCACAACATTTCAAGTATAGAAATTACTTTTCACAGTATATCACACAATAAAACCTCGTTAAATTGGAAGTTGAAGAGATTAAAAAAAAACCACCCCGACTTCAAGTTAACGAGTTTAATATCCGATTTTCTCAAATTTTTCTATGGCTGGGAAATTTTATTCCCGTTGATGAGCCGTTTCTTAAAAATCTGTTCAGATTTATCACAAAATTGTAATCAGTTTACGGCGCTTTTGAGTACGTTGCCAAGGCGCTCCCTTGTGTCTCGATCAAAACGCCAAACGTAAGGCAATTAGCCTCTTTTAGGACGACAAAGGTTTATTTTTGTTAGGACTAAAAACAAAATTGGTTTTAATAAATGTACCTTAATAATTCTCGAGTTTCTAGTGGGCTAGTCCAAGGGTGGGCAACCTTTTTTATAACATGGGCAAGAATAAATTTTACGTTTTTTACGCGGGCCATAGTAGTTAATTGACACCTTGTGACCTGTAAATTTTTAGTCTGCAAATGCGAAATAAATAAATAAATAATTAATTAATTACTACAGTCGCCCCCATAACACTGTTGATTATTCCGTTTTATATGAATTCCATGTTGTATGAGTCACTTAGATTTTACAAATGCGTGTGCCGGGCTGTGAATGGCTCACCTATTTGTAAAATCTAAGTGACTTTAAACACAATATAAACAGCACTATGTAGTGCGATACAACAGACATTACATTTTCTAATTGAATAGCTTTTGCACGTAGATTTTCTTGATGGATGATGCGATGAGATATAATTTAGAAAAATTCTGTTCTCCCATTTTTCGTTTGAATAAGGAAATGACTCCCTTATTTTTTCCTGTCATTGCTGCCGCAACACTTCAGAAAATAATATTCAATTTAAACTAGACGAATTACATCGAAAAATATTTATTAATAATTTCTTCTAAACCTCTCGCGGGCCGTAGCTGGCCCGCGGGCCGGGGATTGCCCACCGTTGGGCTAGTCCACCATTGTACCATAGAGATTACTGAATAGTTACTATATCGGTACATTTACATTTCTTCACTTTTCTAAATTCATCTTCGCTATCTTTGATATGGTCATTAGCCTTAACTTCGCTCTTCTCAGTGGTCTCATCTTCATTACAATACCTTCATAATGTAAGTAAACTCTAACAAAAAAATCTAACTTGCAGTGGTAAAAAACATCTAAATTTAAGGTAAAATCACCGTTAATAGGTAACTGTACAGTACATATAACTGGAAGAGTCACTTTCCCGTATTAACGAAATCATGTTAGCCTGATCATTGACACAGCAATGCACTGCTCTTATACTCCTAGGTGAAGTAAGCAAGAACATGTAAGAGCGCGGTATGCTCTTATAAGCGAAGCAGAACACGTGTTTCAGTAACGTAAAACAAGTGATTTTCACATATAAGAGTACGGAAATACGATAGTATATATAATAGCTCCATCTCTGAATGTCTTCTTCGATGGTACAATCATAAACTTTCTTTTCGCGACGTCTCTACATTTTTGTAATTGAAAAAACAATTCTTTGTAAGCAATATTAGACTATACCGGTATAATATGCTGTTTATTTTAGATACCAAAAATGTTAATAAACAATATCCTTGACGAAAGAAACGAAAACACTGATAAAAATCATAAGAGAAATCTTCGAAAATAATTAGCTAGCGCTGTAAACCAATCTTTCCGATACTATTTTTCATTTTGTTTTGAGATTTCAAATTTCTGATAATATAGTCGAAAGAAGATTATTTCATTCTTTTGCAAATGTCTACTTTTATTTAAACATCGAGCTAGCATTCAAACGAGACTATTGTAACTTTATTACATTAGATGCCTCTTATTTGACGCATATTTGGAGAATGCTTGGAAATTTATTTGATCGTCATCCATTAAAACTAAAAAATAAATCTATCTTCATTTTTTAGCATTTAACTCAAGTTTAAAAATCGCACTCCTAGCAACAGTTTATTTTAAAATATTCAGAATTTATCTACACCTTTATCACTTATTACATTTACGATCGTAATCAATACAATTAAACTGATTTTAAAAAAATTTATCGACTAAATACAGATCTGCATTGATGTAAAATTTACAAATTACAGTAATCGTTAAATTCAAAACTACATTTAATTTATTTTTGAATTTAACAACTATTATAAAAACACAAAATGTGTATTTAGACTTAATGTTATAAAAATGATCCGTCTTACATAATAAAAATTTTAGTCGGTTTATATTTACGAAAAAATATCAAATTTCATATTTAACATTGAGCGTAAAAAACAACCAGATTCGAATCCCGAAATTTTTCAGTTTAGTTAGCTTGTTTGAAAAATGAGGATGTAATCTCACCGAGGGTATTATAAAGCTTTTCAGTTTGGTATTGGATCCTCAGAAATATTCATGGATAGCTTAGGCCAAATATCTCGAGCCCCTCCTTCATCCAGACATCCTATGCTTAGTCAGATAAAAAAAAAAAAACATGAAAAAGCCTATCTTAGAGTTCAAAAGGACGAAAAAGATTTTTAAAAATCCAACTAACGTGCACCAAAAGGTTTTAATTAATTAAAAGGTTTTAGGTTTATTCTTATATGGCAATGCAACACATGGAACTGCCTGTTGGAGGATTTATTCTGCTATGGTGGAACAGAGGATTTATTCTGCTATGGTGGAACAGAGGATTTATTCTGCTATGGGAGAAAATTTCATTTAGTATTGTCAAATAAGGTATCAGCAATGTCTCCACACCTGTTGAAAATACTTGATGCATTGTTACACAACAGTAAAGCTCCCCTATTTGGAAATACGAGCTGAGCTGGGGTTTGTTACAGCAAAGTCCATTTTTGAAATTAAATTGCATCTGTAATAATAATGGATACATGGTATGTCGGATATGTTTTCATTTGATTACTATTAAAATCACAGCATTCAAATAAAGACTACTTTAGCATTAAGCAACTGAACTAAACAATTTTTATATTACCAGAAATATTAAAAATCGTATCATTTTAAAAGGATAAAAATAATGACAATCATTTCTAATCAAACCTGCATGGTATAGTTTTATACTGAATGAAATGCTATTATCTTCATTTAACTTATTTTGAAAATGTTATGCCATTTCTGTTTTCGTACTGGTAACTTACAAAATAATTTGTATTAAATATATTTTTAATGTACAAGTTTCATATATTTCACTCATGGAAAAGCTGTTTATAAGAAAAACTAAATTTCAAAAACTATCAGATAAATTTTTATCAAAATTGTAATCATTATGATAAAGATGTTTTCCAATTTAAAAAAAAAATTTATGTCAGTATTATTTTTTCCTCCTGACTTTTGTTATCTAAAATTATTTTTGAAATTTTTTAAAAGGAAACAATTGCTAGATGCTTGAGTTTATTTTAAATACTGTATTTATAATGATTCTTAAAAATTTCATAGGTTGTTGGGTGCAAAGCTGATTTGAATAATAGTCCTGAAGTATCTACAGAAGAAGGAAGACAGTTTGCAAAAGTTAATGGTTTTAAATTTTTTGAAACATCTGCTAAAAACAATTTGAATGTGGAAAAACCATTTGTAACAATGGCTACAGATATCTATAAAAAATTCGTACCCATTAAAAATACACCTGATACACACTTCAGCCAAATAAATCTTAAACCTAAAACCCCACCACCACAGAAAACATGCTCTATCTGTACTTAATTTATAAATAAATAAAATTTAATAAACTTTTATAAACTTTATTTTATAGAATATTATAGATGTGATTACACAATATCTTTATTGTGATTTTATATAAATGAGTACAGTTTGCAAACCTATCAATAGTTTTGATTCATTAATTTATTACATCTTAAATTCTAGCAAATATTTCAATCCAAAATATAACATTTGATCAAAAATAAAGGAATGCTAACACTGGAATATTGCATATGCTTATTTTGTGATACCAATAACACCACAGGCAAGTCTTCCTCCTGCATTACCAGTTGTTTTACTCAATTCATGTCCACCTTTACCTAAATCATCAGGATCAGCATGGACCTAAATTTCATCAATAAAAGTTATGAGCAAGAAATATAATAGCAATATAATAGAAAAATAAAGAAACAAACAAACAATAACTTACCACCATGCTGCGACCAAGAATAGAAAGGGGTCCATAGAGAGTAATCAAGCTATCAGAAATGTTTACTTTTGCTACTCCATCAGGACCAGCCTCTACATTTCCTAAATCTCCAACATGTCTACAAATTAAAAATATAAATTGTTCAATATAAAATGTTGTTACTCAACTCCTTTCTCCAAATAAAAAAACAAATAAAACTAGCATATTTAAAATAAGCATTCTTTAAATGAATCTTCATTATATTTTTGCAGTATATTTATTCCATTTTTACTAACTGATGTTGATGTTATAACAATAAAATAAATATTTTCAAAATACAGCTGTCCCTTGATAGTCTGACGTTTTGTAATCCGACATGCTCAGTAGTCCGATGCACCTCCCGTCAAGGTACTCGTCTCCGTTACGTGTCTGCTTGCACAGAAGCATGTCGTGCTGTGAATCTCCTCACCCAATTCTTATATGATGACACACATTTCGTGTGTTTTCCATGAGCAGTTCTGTTCGAACAGTTGGAGTAGGGAATATTGTAGGCTACTGCTAGCAAAACAATGCCAAATATGTAATCATTTTCGACAATCCAGACACTTTTGATAATCCGACACCCCTTTGAGTGTCGGATTACCCAAAAGTGTCCGGATTAACAAGGGACAGCTGTACATTTTAAGAATTTTTTAAAGAACTGAAATTAATATATATTACATAAATAAATATATTTAAAATATTAAATAATAAACTGTTGAATTTGTTTTTAATTGTAAAATTATGTAAAACCATCAGAAGTAATTTAACTGAAATTAATGTAAAAAATTATTTATTTACTAAAGTTATTTGCAATAAAGTACTTAATTCATTTTTAATATTGTATTTATTATTTTGTGATACACTGTTAGCACCTACTTTATATATACTCAAACATTTTAAATCTGAGTATATAAATACAAACCTAATTTATTCTTTCTATGGTACTTCTGATAATTTATCATCCATTATCAGACAGAAGTACCATAATTTTTATCCTGAGAATAATTTCAGAGCTAGAATATCTTGTACTTTAGTAAAAAAAAAATTGTTTCTAACTTATCCAAGTCAAAATCATTTACACAAACTTGCTTTCTACAAGGGTGCATCAAAAAGTAAATTGCAATTGGCAAGAACTTTTTGTTGATCAATGATATTTAGATAAAATCTGGTAACAACTATTGTAATACTTCAGATTACAAGGCATAGCAGATTTGTCAACATAGTTGCAGAGGATCAGTTTTCAGTCATGAAAGATGTCATGTCATTTGGATGTAGCAGCATTCAAATTGGAACTTTGTGCAGCAACTTGTTTATGGGCAATGGGCAACTGGTGTTGGATTTCAGTGGGGTTACACCCACTGAAATCCAACACCAGTTGAAGGAAGTGTGTGGTGAGAAAGCTTTTGCACAATAATGCTACACCTCATTCAGCAGGCATCATGAAGGATGTTCCTGTACAATCCATTTGAATGGATTGTTTAGGAACAACCTCCCTACAGTCCAGATATTGTTTTTTGTGAATGGCCTCATGAAAAAGGTCCTTTCAAATTGCCAATATGAGTCCAATGACGATATCACAAATGCAACACAAGAACGGTTATTGCATGTTGGATGGAAATACTTCCAAGAAGGAATAGAAAAACTCATGCCATACTACAATAAACGTTTAAATAAACTTTATGATTGTACAATGTACTACTTTTCAATTTAATCACACAAATAAAAATTTGACTTTTATGTTTCATACTTTTATTTTTAGAAAGAATGCAACTTACTTTTTGACTCACTCTCATACAAAGGATAGGCAAAGTACACATTAGAAATTATACAATAAGCCACATACAACATAAGGAATTTTACTCAGAAATTTTGAAAAAAAATGCTCTTAATTTATTCTGATAATCAAGCAGATAAATAATATTCTATATATATCTGCTAAATTTTAAAATGAATCTAAATAATTATAAAACTACAATATACTTCTGATTAATTCAATATCAAATGTTTGTATTCTTTATACTTACACTGCACTAGAATTATGCTTATTTTAATTATAGAATTCAGTCTAAAGGTAAGCAGTTTAATCCAGATTAAAAATTAGTAATTTTTGAGTATAAAATTAGTTTTCTAATTTTCCAAATTTTTAAATTAAACTACTTAGCACAAGATGATCTTTAGTTAAAATTCTGTGATTTAAAATTTCAGTTTAACTTAAACTAAAATTTAGATGATGTTGATTCAAATTTTGATAAATATGCTAATTTTAATCATTTAATCATTGTTCTAGGTGTGAAATACCCTATGTTTACATAGGTGTGTAATACACAGTTTTACACTATGCATAGTACCTTTAACTATCATGTCTCTATGTAATACATCTCTGTAATCCAACAAATGGTAGACGGACTCACAGCAAAAATTTTCTGTGAGTCCGTCTACCATTTGTTGGATTACAGAGACGTATTACAGAGATCTAATATAAAGCAATCCAGTTATATAGTATCAGGTCTGGTTAAAAGTTTACAATTTTAGGTTGTGTGTAGCATTTGGCACCACATACTTTTAATGTTAAATTTTACACATATATTGTTTTATATATATATGTGTGTAAAATTTAACATTAAAAGTATGTGGTGCCAAATGCTACACACAACCTAAAATTGTAAACTTATTATTGTAAATTAATTATGTATGTATAGTATACAATATATATATATATACATATATATATTGTATACTATACATACATAATTAATTAAAAACAACAAACTGAAATGAATATTTAAAATATTTTAATATACTTGAAATTAGTGTTGGGGCAAGATATTTCAATTTGACCAAAAATATGGCTTGACACTAACACCATCTGCACAAATGCAATAGACTAGAATGAAGTTTCAGGACTTCCAAAAATGCCAGTAGGTGATGGTACTGTATATGCCATAGATCTTCATACTGTCCCAAACGTCTGGAAGTTTCTGGCAGCAAGACAATGTCAAGCATCATTCATTATATGCAGTAACACAGGCAGGTCAGATTCAAATAAATAACAAAATTAGAAAATTTGTTGGTCAACAAAGACATGAATTCTGATTATCAATCCCAATTACTGATGTTTCAACTACAGCTAGTAAAACTTATTAGTTGCTTGGCATTATCTTTATCCTAAAATATGACGTTCAGTGTTTCTTCAGCAGGAGGTCACTTCTTTTTCACAAATGAAATTTTCTATTGTAATTGCAGTAATCATGATTGTTTTGCATAAGTTAATATTAACCTAATTACAAAAACTAAGTGTGTAAACAGAACATATATGTGGTTTTACAGGTTTTCCCATATTTATGAAATCTAACTATTGACTTTCCTCAACACTAATATTTATGGTCTGCATCTGACAGGCCTAAGTGTAAAGGTTCTTATAAAGCTCAGACACATACTTGTACTCACCACACTTTTTTTCAGGCTAATTCACAAGAAGCCAAATTGACTGGTGTCAAGATCACCACTTAGTTCAGTTATAATGCAAGATTGTATTTAGTTTAAGTTATCTTTAGTTAATTTCTTGTATGTTCCAGTTTTTTTTTTTATTATTTTTGTCATTGTCCCAAAAAACAATAAAGAACCTCAATCCACAGATAAAGTTTTAAGCTGATATTCATATTTTGTAATAGATAAAAAACAAGCAAAATCATGGGCATTTAATTTCCCAACAATTGTAATGTTTTGAAATGAAATTTATGCACAAAAATACACAGTCACAAATTATTGTTATTCTTTAGAATCAAGATAGTGCCAAGCTACAAAATGCTGACCTTACCTTTTGAAAATACTTTGATCAAAGTGTGCCATAACTTTTTATATATAATGCAAATACCCCTTCAAATTCAGGATATCTAAAATAATAATAAAGTTGCAAACACATTCAGTTACCAAACATGATTTAATCAACCTTTCAAACCATATTTTCTCAAAATAGTGGAAATAAGGCTTGGCACTATCTTGCCCAACCCCTTCAAATATAAAAACCAAAATTCAGCAACAAGATGTTAACTTTCCTGGCAACATTTAAAACTGTCTTTGTCACCATCTGATACGATATTTTATTAAAAACTTATTATATTTCTAATTATTATAAATGGCAATAAGTTAAATTTTGAGGATAGTTATCAAGTGTTTGCTCATGGCCATTGTGTGTTGCAGTCTGTAAATCATCATTAAGTCAACCCTACTTGAGATATGACACACAACTACCCTTTATCTCGCCACCCTGTCAACCTTTAACCATCAAAATTGAATAGCATCAATCCCTTAAACACAAAACTCTCTGCAGAGTTTGCAGTTATTAATCTTCACAGAGTTCAAAAAAAAGCACAGGAGTTATTAAGCTTCAAAGAAAATGAACAAAATCATGCTCCCCCACACATATATATAAGGAGGTTATATATATACAGTAGAACCTCGATTATCCGGACTAATTGGGGATGAAGGTAGTCCGGATAAGGAAAAATCCGGATAATCGAAACAAATACTTCAATTTGTCTTTTAATGATAATACAACACGTTTTCTTTTCGATGACATATCGGTGATATTAAAAGTAAATACTGTATTTAAATCGTGGTCAAATTTTCAAGAAACAAACGTTCGTATTGAATTTGGACTACTACTGACCAACGCTAACAGACTACCTATTGTTTAAAAGGCCCTCTGGTGGCGCAAGAAGACGGATTTTATAAAATAAAAAGCAGTTGAAACTGCATTTTTATGAATAAAAATTTGACAAACTATTTATCGTTTTATGACGAGTAAAATTTTTTCGTCGCGTTCGCGGCTTTTAAGTAATGCATAAACCTTCGAGGCGCGAGGCCCTTCGGACCGCGAGGCATAGGCGGTGGCCCACGTCGTCCATGCCTTACGCCGCCCTTGGTCATAGAAATGATGTAATTTGAATATAAATTATTTATAAATACGTATGTCAAGTTATATTTTTATTACTACGTAAAATATATTTAAGAGTTTACGACCCAGTCCCATATATTTAAGAGTTTACAACAACCATATTACGACCCATATATTTAAGAGTTTACAACAACGTCTCA